TTGGTGATGGTAAGAAAATTGAAGCTATTGCTAAGGGAGATATTTTAATTGATTGTTACAATGGTAACAATTGGATACCTTGTAGGTTATCCAATGTGTTGTTTGTACCTGATTTGGGTAATTTCAACCTCTTTTCTTGGGGACAAACTGTTCCAAAGGGATTTGGGTTGAAATCAACACCAACAGGTACTGAAATTTACCACATTAGTTCAGGTAAAACTGTTGTGATTGCTAATCAATTTGGAAATACATTTAAGTTAATGATTAGACCAAGAAAAGATAATAATTCATTTGCTTTTATTACAAGTAGAAATACACTTAGTGAGTGGCACAAGAGATTAGCCCATGTTAATGTCCATAAGATTATTCAGATGTCGAGAGATGGACTACTACCTTTGATTAATATTGATTTCGAACCTAATAAATTTTTCTGTGAGGGTTGTGTTAAGGGGAAAATGACCAGACGAACATTTAAAACAGCTCAACCTCGTAAGTTTAATGCTGGAGAAGCTATTCATTGCGACTTACAAGGTCCAATGTCTCAACCATCTCTTAATGGTTCTAAATACGCTCTTGTTGTTAAAGATGAAGCAAGTTCATTTCGCTCTATTTACTTTCAGAAATTTAAATCAGATACTTACGATAATTTAGACAAATTTATCAAAACTGCTGAAGAATTGACTGGTAATAAGGTAAAAATTCTGAGATCTGACAATGGAAAAGAGTTCATTGATAATAGAGTAGCAACATTACTGTCGAATAAAAATATTACTCACGAATTAAGTTCGCCTCATGTACCTCAGCAAAATGGGAGAATCGAAAGAGAAAATCGAACAATTAAAGAATTGGCGCGAACGATGTTGTTAAACAGTAGATTACCTAAATTCCTATGGGCAGAAGCTATGAACACCGCAGTGTATGTTTTAAATTTAATTCCAGGTAAAGGTCAACACGATGTAACTCCCATTGAAATGTTTAAAAAGGAAAAACCGAAATACTTACATTTGAGATCCTTTGGTTGCATTTGTTTTTCCATGATACCTGAGGTCCAACAAAAGAAATGGGATCCAAAAGCGAAGAAGGTCATTTTCGTTGGTTACTCGAATACACCAAATAATTATCGAGTTTATGATCCAGTTGCTGATCGAGTTTTTGTAACAACAAATATTAAGTTTAATGAAGATGATTGTGATGCAGCAAAAGCAATTGAACAAGTGGTTAATGATGAAGATGAAATTAACCTCGAGGATCAAGTTAATGATGATGATCAGGTTGATGTTAATTGTGATGATGATAATAATGATTATGATGCTAATTTTGATGATAATTCAAGTGATACAACCGAAATAATTGAAGATCCTCCTGAATTTGTTGATAATAATTTAACTAATCACATTACTTTACAAGCTATTGTTACTAATTGTGAACCAATTACCTTCGAAGAAGCCATTAATTGTGATGATAAGAAAATGTGGAAGATGGCGATGATTGAAGAAATGAGATCAATCAAAGAAAATAAAACTTACGTGTTAACTGATTTACCTGAAGGAAAAAGGTCAATCAGCTGTCGATGGGTTTTTCGAATAAAGAAAAATACTGATGGATCAATCGATCGATTCAAGGCCAGGTTGGTGGCAAAAGGCTTCTCTCAAAAGGAGGGAATTGATTATTTTGAGACTTTTAGTCCCGTCGCTAGGTACGACTCGATTCGTGCTATTTTGTCAATCAGCTCAGCTAATAAAATGCATTTAATGCAGTTTGACATAAAGACTGCGTTTTTATATGGTGACCTCAACGAAGAAATTTACATGGACCAACCGCCAGGATTCGAGGATGGAACTAATCGTGTTCTTCTCCTGAAGAAAGGCCTTTATGGCCTCAAGCAAGCGCCTCGACAATGGAATCAAAAGGTGGTCGAATTTTTCAATTCCAATGGGTTTCAACAATGTCAATCTGACAAGTGTATTTTTGTGAATTTCACCGATGGATTAACAATATGTGTAATCTATGTCGACGATGGACTTATTTCCAGCTCTAATCCCAACCAATTGACTAATTTAATCAACAATTTAAAAGTTACTTTTCAGGTAAAAGTTCACCCACCACAGGTATTCGTTGGAATGGAAATCCACCAGAGCCAAGACAGATCAACAATCAAAGTAAAACAATCAACATTTATCAACGATTTACTAAAAAGGTTCAACATGGATAATTGTAAACAAGTCTCAACACCAGGAGACACCAATACCAAGTTAACATCAACTAATTGTCCACCTGATACTAAATTTCCCTACCAGGAAGCCGTTGGTGCTCTTCTCTACCTCTCAATCATAAGTAGACCCGATATTACTTATCAAGTTAATAAATGTTCTCAATTCAACTGTTGTTATAATGAGGATCATTGGAAAGCAGTAAAAAGGATCCTCAGGTTTCTCAAAGGTACCATTGATGTCGGAGTCACCTATTCATCTACATCATCAAATTTTGATTTAATTGGTTATTGTGATGCTGATTATGCAGCTGATTTAGATTCCAGGAAATCAACAACAGGATTTGTGGTCACTTTAGGTGGATCTCCAATATCATGGTCATCGCGGTTACAAAAGGTTGTGGCTCAATCGACAACAGAATCGGAATACATGGCGATTGGTGATTGTACTAAGGACATTTTGTGGTATATTCAACTATTTAAAGAGTTAAAAGTTCCTATTCAACTACCTGTTAAAATTATGAGTGACAATCAAGGAGCAATCAAATTATCGAAAAATAGTGTTTTCCATAAACGAACCAAACATATCGATGTTCGTTACCATTTTATTCGGGATCATCAAGAAAAGAAAGAGATTGAACTAAACTTCATCCCCACTGACAAACAACCAGCCGATATGTTGACAAAAGCACTTTGTTCACCATCACTAAGAAAATGTTGTAATTATCTTCATATTAATTAAGCCGAGATTGGTGCAAGGGAGAGTGTTGGTTATATTCACTGATTATATTCATTCATTTTAATCATTTACTACTTCATGTTACTACAATTACTCCGATTAGTTCCCATGCGACATCAGTTGTAACATTTTTCCGATTCCCCATAGACTTAACATTGGGTACTGTCTCAAGTGGCTAACTTTTTCACAACAAACAATTTGCCGACAACAATACACACATATAATTGAAGCTCTTGTTAAATGTGATCGATTAATATACTGATCAAGTCGATCGGTAAATTGGTTCAGCAACAATTAACCAAAAACCTTCGGTTTTTGTCTATTTTGACCAATTAAGTGAACCATTGGTACCAACACACATTTTAACTAATTAATTAGTTTTGATCAACAAATGATATATCACCAGAAAGAGCTTAATTAAGCGAGTCTTAATATATAATAATAATTGTTGTAAGTTGTATGTGTACTGAGATATGAGCACAAACAATTGGTCAATTTTGGTAAATTGACCAACACCATTTTCTCATATTTTTCGTTTACCTTTGAACTTTGAGATTATTTTTTCTTTCCCATTTATTGGTCTTATTAACCCAATTGTACTCTTAAAATTTGGTCAACATACGATTCAGTAAGCTCCTTTCAGTCGCTTCAACTGACCAATGACTTTTAGTCTCATCTCTTTATTGCCCCAATCTCTCTGTCTTAATCATTATCTTCTTACTTTCTCTCTCTCACTCTTTACTCTCTCTTACTATCTACTTACCTTAGTAAGTTAATCATCCATTTACTTTACCAACGGACAATTAATTCAAATGGACCAATCCGGTCAAACTGACCAAACCTTAGACCTTTTCTCTTCTTGTATTTAAACGTAAACCTTGACAATAATCATTACACTTTGGTCTCACTCTTTGTACTGGTAACTTAATGAAGTTTTTACTTATTAATAAAAGTGTCGTTTATATTTAAATTGTGTATCCTCATTGTGTTAATGAGAAGAAGTAAATTTCTACTTATTGTTTAATTCAGTTGATTAAGGAAAATCAATTTAAACCAACACAACATAATGTTAAAAGCTATGAAACGTTTTTGATTAATCATTTTGATTGATTGGTTGATTGATTAAATTTGAGACAAATTGATTAAGATGAAATTGTCTTAACAACTCTTAATCATATGATAATTTCTGATGATCAGATTAACTGTCATCTCAAACTGTTTCAATCAAAATGATTAATTGATTCGAGCTAATTAAATGTGATAACTAACAAATGGTTGAGCAAAAACTAATTAAACAAATTGTAAGTTTATCCTTTCATATTTAACTATTGAATTTACATGTTAAGCATGGAAATTGATTGTTACAATTAAACAAATTGCTCGATTGAGACAATTTATCATTTCTGTTGAGTATCATTAATATGTAACATGTTTGATTAGTTTATCTTTAATTTGACCCTGAGGAAAAATCAAATTTCATGAACATTATCATGAACTTTTATGGTTCATTCCTTGATGTTGGGTTAGATATAAAATCGGTATGAATTTAGGAGTCGCTTTTAACGATATCTTCAGGGTGATTGTTTCAAATTCATGGTGAAAACCAAATTTCTTAGGATTCAGATGAACTTTCAATGGAGAAGAAAAAATTTGCTCAAAAATAGCGATTTCCAAGTGATATATTGAGATAGATTATCTTTTATGGCCTCAGGGAATTACATCTATCTCCTCTATCAGAAATTCTGGTTTACCATGTGGTAGAATAAAATAAAGAAAATGATCTTTTGAATTTTCTTTTTCCGCCAATATTTTACCTTCTACTGAGTTATTGACTATTTAATGGTTACTAAGACTTTCTAACAAATCAGTGGTGACATTGAGATCGGAGAAGAGATTATTCTGATGAACATGATTAGAGAATCATTGAATTTATGGGGATTGAAATAAACTGTTGACCCAAGATTTTGGATAAAAATCGAAAAAGTTTTCGATTTCAATGAAAAATATTCTTCTTTCAATTGTTTACTTTCTTTTCCATCTAACTGTTCACAGAAATCACGATAAAGAGCATGCGAATCTACTGAATACAATGTGGTTAACAGCGATAACATTTCTATCTGTTGGCTATGGTGATATTGTTCCCAATACTTATTGTGGTCGGGGAATTGCAGTTACAACTGGATTAATGGTAAATTGTTTAAATTAAATTGATTGTCAATCAATTGGACATTTGGGTTCATGTTTTTGACGCAAAAATCTAATCAAAATCAATTGGAAATGTTTCATTTTCTTTTTCCAACCTCAAAACTAATCTGAACACTCTTTATACAACAAACATTGACATACTGTGAATATACAGGGTATTCATGTTACTATCTGATGATATGAAGAAGAAAAAAAACTAACACAAGAAAAACTTTCTCCCTGAACATGATCAATGTCGAGATTATTTTGATTCTGATATAATCATTTTCCGACGTGATTATTATTACAATATAATGTTCATTGATATGATTAGGGTGTAGAGATAAAAAAATAACCTCAGGGTAATTTAGCATTTTTCATGTGAGCACCATGATTTCTGTTCAGTCTTTAGGCTCTGGGTTGTTGTTATTTTTATTGTATATTATTATCATCAAGTTTAGATAAACAACCGACACAAATGAAATCAGAGACAATATCAATTCTTGTCAATATAATATTATCAACAGAATTCCCTGTTTTCCTTTTACACAATTTTCTTATGATAAACATTATATTCCTGATTCTGGTTAATTACTATTGCAACGATTATATTATTTTACTGTTATTATTATCATGATTAACAGGGAGCCGGTTGTACAGCTCTGGTTGTTGCTGTGATTGCAAGGAAACTTGAATTGACTCGAGCTGAGAAACATGTTCACAATTTCATGATGGATACACAATTAACCAAAAGGGTAAGTAGATTTTTCATTAACTGAATTTCATCAATGATCATGGGAAATATGAGAATGATCTAATTAATGGAATATTTATGTTACAATCGAATCAAAGTGCAAACTTTTTGAAAGAAAAAAATCTCTGGACATTTTTTCTCTTCTCAAGGAGAGACTGTAACATCATCTTCAGAATATTATATTTATTGTGATAAGATTCAAGGTCCATGAGAGGATTGAATAAGTTTTTTTCTCTCTCTCAGAAGAAAATGATGATAATAGTAATGATAATCGAAAGGAGGAGAGAAAAGTTCTGAACAGGTTCTTAATTCATAACTATCAACTTTTCTTTTGTACAATTTTCTTCTCTCTTTCGATATTTTCTCAATTTTTTCTTCGTTTCATTCGGAAAATTCAATATCATTCGATGATTTGGACAGAAGATAACAAAAAGAATATGAAATTTGATACAAGATCATGAGAAAGAGAGATAGAAAGATGAATGTGATGGACTCAATTCTAAAGGGTCACTTGAATGTCATTCTCATCTTTAATCATCATCTCTTTATCATCTTCATTCACCAATAGTTACATTATATATTAATCCTCTTGAATCATCTCGAAAATTCATTTTGTCACCATGAAAACATGTCCAACAAATCGTCAACTGATATAACGATAACAACTTTTTCTCCAATTGAATTAACCTAATAATCAGAAACTTCACTAGAACTGATGATCGAGTCAGAATTTCTCACACTATTTTGTCCCATGTATCACATGTTCCTCAGAGAATTTAAATACACCAATGTATAGATAGAATTCTGACCTTCTATGACTAATTTTTCTTTTTCTCTTTTGTTTCATTTCTGCGAATGTCCAGTTGAAAAATGCTGCGGCCAACGTGCTAAGAGAAACCTGGTTAATTTATAAGAATACGAAACTTGTAAAGAAAGTAAACTACTCCAAGGTTCGAACTCATCAACGTAAATTTCTGTTGGCAATTTACAGGTAATTAGAATAATCATCTCGTAGCAAAATGCGAAAAACTAAATTGTCACAATTTGTTTTTTTCTCAGCTTACGAAAGGTTAAAATGGATCAAAGGAAATTAATGGACAATGCAAACACCATAACAGACATGGCAAAGGTATTATTCAAGTATTCTAACAGTTAATTAGTCAAAATGATTAATTAACATCTCAAGATAATTATCAGAATAAAATGAGAGTTACAAATGTTTCCAAAAATAATTTAGTTCAATTTTCTGTTTGCTGTCGCCATCTAGGTATAGAATTTGTTACCAGCTAATTAAAGTGAAATGATGAAAATTAATTAACTTGAGATTGTTATTAAGTTAGTAAGTGTCTTTTTTTTAATCAAGTTTATTGAACAATCAAAAATCAATAGATAAAAGATAAACTGAAAAATTTACATCTCCATATGAAAGTATTGAGATAAAAAAAAAGGTTGATTGTTAATCAATATTAATGATCAACATTATCAATCTAGAAAGCGGAAGTTTAATCGTTTTTTATATTCATCTCTCGCTGTTATCATGACTATCATGATCTGGTGGTGAGATATTAGTAAAACTTTGCTCGTACTTTGATAATTAAAATGAAAGACATAATAATTTTCCAACCATGAGTTTAATTAGATTTGGAAGTTGTTTCTTTATTCACAGGAAAAAGTTCATTTGAATTCAGAGTTTTTGTTTTATTTTTCTCTCTTAATTAGTTTAGAAAGAGAGAGAGAGAGAGATAATTTCCAATGAGATATATTTATGATTTTTTATTCTCGTTTTCAATTACATGTAGACTCAAAATTCTGTGTATGAACTTGTTTCGGAAATGAATCAACGTCAAGAGATTTTGGAAGAGCGAGTTGTCGTTCTTGAGGAACGCATTGGAACCCTTCAAGAGCAATTGGAATCGCTTCCGGTGGCCTTAAGTCGAGTTATCGAGCAAACATTAATCCCTTCAATTCAGCAATCACTAAATCGTTCATCACATCAAGGCCTTATTACTAGTAATCAAAATGAATCTTTTGGTAGGTTAAAGTACAAGTTGAACAGTTTCATTTCATTGATTTAATTTTCCATTTACTTTTACAACAAACAGTTAATCAAGAATCAATTACCTCATCAGGAGGAGGTGGTGGTGGACCTGGTGTAACCTGTGCTACCACTGCAACTGGACTTACATCAACCTCATCAAAACATAATTATCTTCATCCCAACGATGCAGCTTCTCTTGCTGCTCGGCCATCGTGGTCATCGGGAAATATATCCGGTCAAACCGGAAATCGTCAACTATTAGCTCCAGTAACTCCAAAGGCTGGTTCATTTGATACATAACAATAGATTAAGACTCAGATGATAAGATGAGAAATCAGTTAATTATGGTTAAAAATGATGGTAACAACAATAATCTAATAATAATAACATTCGAGCTCGATAATCAACAAATTATCAGAACACAATCTCGACTAATTAACTTTCATCTGAGTTTTTAATCTCATTATCCTGATGATTTACTTAATTTCAGTGATAATTAAGATCAATCTTACCAATCAAAGTGGTTATCTTATTATGGTTATCATATATTAATGTATATTTATGATCACAATTAGTTTAATTAAGCTAATCAATAAGTTAACCGGAATAATCAACAACAGTTTCAAAAAGCCTTAACAACAGAAGCGAAACTTTATTGCAATTAACTAATTGTTTCAACTGATTATTATTACAAGACGATGCAGATGATTTGATGAAGGCAGTTCACCGTAAAAACCTTAACAATTAAATAGCAATTTAACAAAAATCATCAACGATCTTGTCAATTAAAAGTTTTAATTTTTGTTGATTGTAATTTAAGAAAAGCCAAACTATTGTGTCGATCAAAAATCAAATCAAATGTTAATTATTTGAAATTGATTCAATTAAATCATGAATTTTAATCAATCATCACCACTAAATCATCATCATCATCGTTATCATCAATTAAATCAACTGTAAATTGTCAATATTAATCAACAAAAAATTAATCATGTCCGCACTTTTTATATAATCACCGTCCGATTGAAAATAATTGATTAACAATTAAATTTAATTGTATTTTTTAGGATAAAAGTTGGAAAAAAAAATTTAACCCACAAAAGTTTACATTTTGAGATGATGGTAACAATTAACTCAATTAAATTGGAAACACTAATCAATTAGTTGTCTTTTTATCTTCCCTTTGATTTTTGTTTCTTTAATTAAGTTAATTTGACAAAATTAAACTTACTAATTAATATTACAATCAAATTAAAATCAATCATTATCTCCATCAACTGTGATTTGATAGACAATTTAAAAGAAACATCAACAATTAAGGAAATTAAAGAAAAAGAAAAAGAAAATCATAAAGCCTAATTGTGAACTAACTCACACACAGAACAATTAACTAATTAACTATTGCCATCATTGTAATTAAACTAAATTATTGATTAAATTGCTCTTTTGATTGTAAATATGGATAAAAATATTTACTCAAAGTGAGAAAAGAAAATGAAACAAAGTCTCAATTACTAAATCCATCATTCAATGAAAACTTTAAATTGTGTCGTTAATTAACAAATACAATTAAAGGAGAAACAATTTAAGAGAAAATAGAATTTTAGTTTTCTTTTCATTCACTAGATGTCACTTCGAATGTTCTTATTCTTGAAAATTAAAATTCGATGAAAAAATTTTATTACTAGTTAATCTATTAAACTTGTGATTTATGGCTATGATTCAAATTGTAGATTGAAATTTGAAAACAATTAACTTGGAGACATCAATTAACAATGAATTATAAGAAGCTTGTTAACAGTGTGTGAAGATCAAATCAAATGTTAGGGTATTTAGAACTAAATTGTAATAACCAGAAAGAGAGGTAAAAATAGATTAGATTAATCAACTCCGATGATTAGTTAATCATCTTTAATTCCAATGTAAAGTCTATCATGAATTATATAATCATCTAAATGTGATAAATTACACGAGATGATTAATGGTAAAGGTAATTTTCTTTGTGACGTTTGATTTTTATGCTTTTCTCACTTATTCCGATTAATTTAGATGATGATTATGATATGGAAGTTAATTGTTGACAATTAAAATTATTCTCGAGAAAATGTGAATCAACCAGAGGATCAACAGATGAATCTGAGTTTTGCAATTGTAAAAGTGCATTCTTCTTGAGGCAAACCCATCGGCGAAATTAAATCAACGATAATTATGTTAACAATCAATCAAGAATCAAGAACAATTCAATACTTTAAATTGAAAAGATGATTGTAAATGGAAATAAAAAAGTTAAATTAACGATTTGACCTGAATTACAGTTTGGCGATTTCAGAATGTCCTGAAAATTGAGTGAAAGGGTCAATCTAAGAATGAACTTGGAATTGAATAAATTAAATCAATTGTTGGATAATTTTGATTATCGTTTCTTTCCTTCAGCATCACAAATGTCAAGTGAATATCGAGATCAGAACCATGGAAGTTCATGAATGTCAACAAATGATAAAACTCGGCAATTGTATTCGCCTCCGTTGAAAAAGCGACCAGTCGAATGGTTCAAAGATCCATGAACTCTAAATCTGAGCGACTGAATCAGTCGATCATCACCTAATTCAAAGAGCAATTGACTTGATTGTTATAAGATGATTCTAATTGTTTGAATTTCGTTTTTCAATTGTGTCCTAATCGTTGCCCAAAACCATAGACTCGAAACTTTTTTCATCCTTGATTAAGTCAAATTGTAGAAAATTGAAAAATTGTTTGTATTATATTGAGTAAAATGATCAAATTAAAAAGAAAAGAAAATCTAATCAACAACAATCAATCAATAAATAGTAATCAACATGAAAACGCGTGTTGATTTAGTTGATCACAATTTGAGTTCGTAATAAATTGTCACCAAGATTTAATTTCCCAAATAAAAGTGACATAATTATCGTACTTTTCTTAAATTTTATCGAAAACACAATCAACAGCAACAATAAATCACACTAAATGATTAAATTGTTGATAAAAGAAAATGTACCTTCACCTTCAACAACAATTAGCAGATTATTGATCAACTGGAAAAGAAAGATGAGTTTTAATCATCGCATGAGAATATAAATTATTTAAACATTTAGAGTGAAAATCACGAAAATCAACTCATCCAATGAACACCAATAGATAACAATTAATATAAACATAATCTTATGAATAGTTAATCAGTTAGAAAGAAAGAAAAACAAAAGAAACACTTTCAAAATGTTAATCACAATTAATAACTTTCAGATTCTCAGGTGGAAATAGACAATTGGCTATTTGCACGAAAAGAATAACAATCAAATTAACTAATTAAACAATTGTGGTCAATTTTAAGTCGAAAATAGTTACAAACACAACAAAGAAAAACATAATTATCATCGAATCAAATTTTCCCAAATCATCGTCATTGAGAAAAAATTGATTATCTTAATTTTCTCGCTAATTAGACTCTCGCTATTTTCACCGAAATTTAAATCTCCCCTCAAGAGAGAGAGAGAGAGAGACTCGCTCTTTCTTTCTTTCTCTCTTTCTATTTTTCTTTCTCTTTTTTGTTATTCTTTATCAAAAGTAACAGTTTGTTGTTGTTTTACTTTTCATCTCATTCTTTCCCATTCTCAACCTAATTTAGTACTATTAGTAGATAAAAAGCCCTGGGGGAGGGTGAAAAGAGAGAGAGAGAAAATTGTAAAATTGTTTTATTAATTTTGAGGAGGTTCTGAATAATTATAAGAAAATGTTACGCCAAAGGATAAATCAGTCTGAATCCAGGTCTCAACAACGTCCATCAAACTCATCGTATTCAACAGATTCCAAGAAAAAGATGGACACCAAATACTCAAAAAAGTCTCGTTTCAATTTGTGTTATCTTGTCATTTCCTTTTTCTGTTTAGTTTTTTTCATCGCTTATATTGTTGTTCCAATTGTCTTTAAATTAACTCCATCGGTACGAAGACATCTTCTTTTCATGAATTATGTCAACTTCCAGATGAACATGAACCTGAGTAATCCTGAAAGTGAATATAAACTAAAGTGTACTCACACTTTCCATGTTGATTCAGGTGATGGTTTGTCCCTTGGTGTTTGGCACGTACTTCCAGGTAGTTTGGTTGATAAATATTGTCCAACCGGTTCTGGTTCCGTTGATTTAAGAAATGTTGATCCATCGCAATTGTTTAACGATGATAAACCAATTTTCCTTTACTCTCATGGTAACGGTGGAACCAGAGGAGGAAATCACCGACTTGGCCTTTATAAACTCTTGGCCTATGGTCCATTGGATGCTCATGTTATCACCTATGATTACAGAGGGTACGGAGATTCAAGTTCAGTTGATCCCTCGGTTCCAGGACTTGTCGATGATGCTTTTCACATGTACCAATGGTTATCGAGTAAAGTTAATCACAGTCGAATCAATGTTTGGGGCCATTCCCTTGGAACCGCAGTTTCGGTTGCTTTGGTTAAAAGGATTTCCAACTCATCTCCACCCAATTCCCTGACATTGGAAGCTCCTTTCAACGATATCGTTGAAGCGATCAGTGAATATCCATTAGCAATTATCTACAAAATCTATCCACTGTTTGATTATTTCTTCATTGAACCATTCCGTCAACCAGAATTTCAATTGTTCAACAGTCAGGTGAACATTAAAGAAATTAAAGTTCCAACTCTGATTCTCCATGCTAAAGATGATGCCATTGTACCTTTCAAATTGGGATTCAGATTATATAAAAGTGCACTTGAAGCTTCAAACAATCAACCAGATTATCTTAAGCCAGTGATGATTATCTACAGAGAGGATCATGGATTAGGACATAAAAATATTTACAAAGAGCCAACGTTAACCAAAGTGATTGGAAAATTTATCTCTCATCTTGAAATTGAACAAACATTTATATGAGATGATTAATGTTAATTATTTACAAAATTTTTCTCTCAATTAATTAACTGTTAACACATATAAGAGGAAAACTTATTTTCCACAACCTAAGATAATCTTTCTTACTATAGTTAATTATATTATCACAATTAGCGACTCACTCAAGCTAAACATTGACGATTAATTTAAATGGTTGTAATCATTGATTGTCCAAGTCCAATTATTTATCAAATTGATTATATTTCATCAATTATATTGTACAATTTGTTAAATTTTTTTCTTCCATTCGTCAATTGAAAATGTTCATCATCATCATCAAATTTGATCCTCCATTAATTTTACAACAATCAACATCAATTTTTAATTATCTTAATCATATATACACAACTATTATTGTAATACTTTCATAAATATATATTTAAATATATTTATTCAATTGTTTCCTTAAGTTAAAGAGGAAAAACTATTTTCTAATTTGTATGTCACAATCAAGAATCAATATTGTTAATCAAATTGATTTAATATCGTTATTGTTAGATTATAATAATATAAATCAACCTTGACTCTAAAATAAAGTTGACAATTAATGTTTACAAGGGATAAGGTGATCGTCATGATCACTATTAATATTTATATTTACGTTACGTTGATTTTCACGTGTGGTATTATTGACAATTATTTATATCCAACTTGTTGATTACTACAGGGAAATTAAGGAATTGACGTTCAGATTGATGAAAGTTTTCCCCTTGAACAGTTGACACTTAAATCGGTTTGATGATTGGTTAACAGTTTAACAATCAAACTCATCGCCAACAATTGAAGAATTGATTAAATTCAGCCCATGAACTTTACAAGTATCTCATAGTATGAATGTAATTATATTTTCAGGGGTTGAACAATTGATAGTAAATTTTGGTCAATGGAAAATCAAAGTTGAAACTTTTTGTTTTGATTAGTTGATCGTAATGGTTAATTGAATGTAGATTTTTGTTAGGAGGTAATTTCAATTGTCCAGGAGTGACTTTTGGTGGGTTTTCAGGTGAGATTTTTATCCGCTTAGGTTGATGGCTTTGAAAACGGCGGGTGGAACTTTGAAGGAAAAAGTTGTATTGTTGAGGTTAATTGTTGTTAATTGCCGTGGAATCATGTTATCATCTGAAAGCTTATTCTTTTCTCTACAAGATGGTGTTACCAATCTCACAATTTCTTTCGTTAATTGTTGTTGTTTTCAAGCTCAATTCGGAAAGTTCGATAATTGAAATTCGATAATTATAATCTGACCATCCGATCATTTTTGGATCTTCATTCATCTCTTTTTCGCTCCTTGATTTCGTTCTACTTGTTGCGATCACAAGAAGCGAGTGATTGACAGAATAATATCGAAATTTTCATCTATTTCTATCAAGTCTCTTTCTACTTTCTGATGATTAGAATTTCAATTTATTAGCTAATCTGAGATGTAAAGGATAAGAACATAGAGAGAAAAAAAAGAAAAGGATAATAAAAAAAAGAGAAATTTTAATCAAACATGAATAACTTTTGACCCTTGACCTCCTACGACATTGATTTTGTTTAATGAGTACAGAATTTCAAGATCTTTTATTTGATATTACATATCTTCATATTGCTCTTGAATGTTTGAACAAATATGAATCATAATAATTGTGATGATAATGATACATGAAAAAGAAAAGGCTGGAAGAATCAATTTCAATGAAAATCGTAAGGAAAATTAATGTAGCAATTAGTTGATGATAAAATTGATGAATAGATGAACATATTAGGTGAAAAGTTTCAAATGATTATCCTCGATAAAAGGAACCGGAAGCAGAGAAAAGCATCAAAGCTGATAAAATATCGAGAATGAAAACAGCGATCATGTTACCATCTTCAGCGAGGAAAATATTATGCCTCTTGTTGTCGACGATACTTTTCAATGCTTTGAACGCTCCATCGGCGGTCAGATTACAAGGCATGTTAAACACTAGAACCGAAGTGTAAACCATGATACCAGCGATCACAAGGATTCCAATAACAGCCTAAAGATGGAATCGAGGAAAAGAAATGAAAAAAGTTCAATCAATTGGACATTCGATACTCGATCGATCGTGAGAATCACTTACCAGATAAAACAGTATAACGATATCATGGATCACACCAGCAAAGTTGAGCACTCCAAGGACGAAGAGCACCAAACCCGTGATCAGACCTGCGATGTGAAAAGCTTGGATCTTATCATAGTCTTCGAGTCCCAAACAGCCTTCTTTAGACTTGACCAGATAGAAGCAAACTGCCCCGAAGACCTAATTGTAAACCATTAACAGTTGATTAGATTTTTTCACCAAACAATTTACTTAGTCTTCGAGTTTGTTTCATCAATCGTTTTGAAAAGTTAAACTAATTGCTCGTAGTTAGCGAAATTGAATAAATTGTCTCTATTATTTATTTAATAATCTGTTGAATTGTCCAAAGACAATTTAACTTGATTGAATTAAATTGGTTGATTTTAATTTCTTACAATCAAATTAATCTATTCAACTTTTCCCCACTCGGATCATTGATTATTGTTCAATCATATGTTGATGATTAACTCAATTAATGATGATGATAATAAAGCTAATAATGAATCCATATAACATCAGATTAAGACAATTAACTTATTATGATAATAATTATCCATTCCAACCTTAAATTAACTTCTCTCGCTTTTGGATAAAATTTTGCTAATAACAATTGAACAATTTATATTTCCTTTCCTTCATAAATCACTATTAATAAAAGCTAATTGTTTCAACGATTCCATTGCTATTAAAGGCAATTGTTTCAATCGGAAACAATTTTCAAGGCTATTGATTAAAACACAAACCGCCAATTGTGAGTTCGGATTGACAAAAAAAGAGCTTAAATTTGTCAACAATCATTGGAAGATAATTAAAAAAAAAATCACTTACCGCAATTAGCAATCCCATTAAACCATATCCATTAACACGTTTAGAAGCACTTGGCATTTTGATTTAATTGTAATAATTTAAAACTGGATAACAATTAGTGATTACTCGTTGATTGATTGAAACAATTAGCAAAAAAAAATCGTACTTGTTGTTGACTATGAATTCTGGTTGAAACTGAAATGAAAATAGAAACTGAATTAACTTCTGGTTGCAAGTTGATTGCCTTGTTGCTATTACTTTAATGATGATGATGATGATGATGATAAAGATTCAGTTGCTCACTCACTCATTCCTCTCACTTTCATCATCATTTATCTCTCTCATTCCTTTTATCTTTTCATCCTCTTTCTTTTTCTGTATCTTCCCTCTTTCATCTGTCATCTCATCCTCCCTATTATTTAAATAACTCACTCAACCATATTTTTGGATATAACTGAATCAACAAGAACTGGATGATAAGGATGATAAAGAAAGAGGAAAAGAAAGATAAATGAGACTCTCCCAGAGATAATGATTCTGTCCTAGATAATATTCAACAACGAAAACCTCAAAGACTAACTAACTGTAATCCTCGAGAGCGATTAATTTCCTATCATCGATAACAATCAATCCATATGATTCTTAATCATAATTAATCATTAACCATTTTAAATTGTTGTTGTTGTTGTTGTTTTTGTCTTGGTGAGTGATTTAATTCATTGCTAACAATCAACTCGATTGTTGTTCACCTTGGATTGGATTAACGAACCTCAAGCAAGGCCTAAGATGAGATTAACAATTAAACAATTAAAATCCTACACTTAATTTTGTTTCTTCTTCATTAGTAAATCTTTATTATTATGATTAACGGAGGGTGTTGTTTGCTTTTGTCTAAATCACAATTAACAATATATCAACAACTATTAACAATCAAATTGTTACACTGTTTTAATTTTTTTCTCATGATGATTAAAACTAAAACGCGATAAATATTAATTTCTGAACCTTGAATTTTATTTGTTTGGAAATCGTTTTAATATTTTGGTCTTTTCTTAATCATAATTAGTAAATTGTTTCTGTCACAATTACAAGTTGAACATTCAATTCCCGCCTTGACATGTAGTCATGATCATCTTCATGATAATGATAATAATCAAATTTCATGAATCTGATGTCATTAGATATTGTATTTAACTCTCACGCAATTGAATCAAATTGAATTGAATTAATATTTTGTTATATTAACTTTCAATTTTTTATTTCAACAATTAAAGGTTTGTTTGTTATTAATGAAAAGTTAATCATGTTCATATATATATTGTAACTGAGTTGGTTAATTAATCAATTCTCAATGGTTTAAGGGCTCTAAACATGGTCAAGAGTTAATTAACAACAATCTTTTCATGAGTTAGATTGTTAATTGTGGTTAAATATGAAAAAGAGGTTAATGAACAATTAGAAACTAAATTAAAGTGAAACACCTTGAAATTTAAAGTTAAATACTAAAGATATACCTTGATGATTAAATACATTGTTGATTAACTAACCATAAACTAAGGTTATTAACAATTAAGAGCCACACTAATCATCAACAACAGTAACAATTTAAGGTTACAACTGATGAAGGATTTGGGAACTGAATTAACAGTGGGAACTAATTGTTTCTCATAAGTTTCTCAATCGTAAATATAAATTGTAAATCTATTAAATCATCGTCAATCTAATCAATTGAATATGATTCGTAAACATATAAACATGATGGATGTTAATGATTGTATTGATAATCAACTCGATGATGATGATGATGATGATGAATATTATGAAAACCTTGCCAGAATCAAGAGAAAGAGTTAGTTGATTGTTGCAAGATAATAAACTTAAATTATCATCAAGCAAACAATTTAAACTGCAAACAAAATCCTTGAAAGTTTCACATTGATAATTAACATTGAGACTATGGGGTTTGTATTATTTTCTGGTAATCAAACCTAAAAACCAGAATTCTGGTTTCTGGTTGTTGTTGTTGTTAGTTACTAAGATGGTGACCTAATTGAATAACAACAACATGATTAGTTGTTTTCCTTGACTAACATTATAATTAAATTTAATTGTTGTAGGTTGGTTAACTCTGTCTATGGATATTAATGTGTTGCCTTTTGATTGTTAATCGTTTCAAATCGTAGGTGAAATTGAATCGTGATTAAGATTAGTGTTTAAACAAAAATTGATGCGCTACATTGATGACGATCAGTTGATTAACAATGGAGAATTGATTTAATTCATCAAAATTGTTAATCGTTTTAACAATTTAACAATCGAATGAAAAATTTTGATCAGCAATTTTGTCTAGAATTTTGTTTTTTTTCTGATTTCTTGTTGATTGTCCAGAAAATTTAAATTGATTGTATTCACTTACCTTAAGACAATTTGATTGATTTTGATTATTCACAATTAAATTTAGAAATTGACTCTTTTTTCCCCAACAATTAACGATTCACAATTAAAGGTTTCAATATGTTTGTTTTTTCAGTTAATAAAATGTGGTTCAAATGATTTAATCATAATTGTTTCCTTGGTTATTATCTTGATTGTTGTTGACTGATTAAGACAAGAATACAATCAATTGATTTAATTTGCTTCCTTTAGATTGTAAATAAGAAAGTCAATTGATTTTTCTTGAATAATTAGAACCATTTTAACCATATTAAATTAGTTAATTACTCTAATTTTAAATGAGCTTTCACATTGAATTAATTAAATTAATTGAATGAAAAAAAAGGTGATTTAGTTTCTGGTTTTGATGGCAAATTAAAATGTCAACTAATTGATGTTGTAAATTATTATGTTGTTTGATATAATCCCTTTTAGGTGTATTACATTGATTGTTGTAAAGTTGATTAATTTGGTCCCTTGATTGTTAAGGTGAATTCAATTAATTTGGTGAATCGAAAGGTAATCATAATTGATAACCATTATTATCAAAAGGAAATGATGATCAGCGTAAAAATAGGTTAGATTACTAAAAATAGAGATAGTCGATTATCTTGATGATAATCATGTGAATTCATGATTAGCATAATTCAATCTTTAAAAAAAGTATAGCGTTAAAGTCAAGGTGAGATTGAAAATGATCATCATGTTAATCAAACTCAGAATTATGTTCAACATGGAATCAGGAACAGAGAGAAAAAAGTTGCATTTTTTGTCTTCTTTTCTCTTCCATGATGAAGATGGGAGAGGCCTATGGCTAAAAATAAAGTTCTGTTCCTATTTCTCCTTTTTTTTCCTCTTTTTATCATCTTTCATCATTCTTGTCATCCATTTGCTTTTAGGTTCCATCCATTTTGTTCCTATTTAATTTCACAATTTAATTAACTTTCTACCTTGTTTCTTTTTCTTTCTCATATCATTGGAATCCATGGCTTGTTTTTTAAGGTAAATTGTTCATCATTCATGGGGAATCATTGACATGGAGCTTTGGGTTGCATGGTACATTTTGTTTCTCCTTTTAGTAACATCATTATCAGGGTGAAATTGGTTATCATGGTTTGAATATCAGAAGAGATTGTGATTAGTTTCACTTTTTGCCTTTTTCTTGACATGTTAAGATTGGGCTTGATTAGAATGGTTAACAATGACCCACACCTAATCAACATTAGTTAATCTCTTGTCTCTTTCATCTATGGTTATAACTGATTAGCTTTGGGTGTCTCTTAATCTGGTTCACATGTTAAGCTTTAACTGTTTGCTCATTGTCTTTTATAGTTTGACCGAAATTCGGACTCTGCCAGATGATTTGTTGATGTATGATGATGATGATGATGATGAAAATATAGTTAATGAAGAGCAGCGGATAACAACAATAAATAGAGAGCAAATATATTTCTTCCTTTCGGGAATTGTTATCATGATTTAATGATCCACTTGGTTATTACTTTTGTCTATGGTTGATTCCTTTTAAATCTTGTTACGTAATGGCTTTTGTCTTCTTCTTTATATCAACCATGGGAATATTAATGTTACATTTTATGATGATGACAAAAAATGATCAAGACTTGACTTTACTCCTCTCTCATGGTCTCCTCAATGGACTGGTCTCTGTTAAGAGTAAAGTAAATGAATCCAATGGATTATTGATTTGATGATCTTTTTCTTTTAATTTCATAATTGAAAATTACCTCTTGCTTTGATTTATCGCCAATTTAGGTGAAAGGATAATTTAAAATTAAACACTAAGATCAGTAGCTTAATCCAAAGCTCCAATAAAAGTGAGACTCAATGAATGAGAATTATAAATCATCATTGATCGGGACCGTTTAACACCAGATTAATCAACAGGTTAGATTCACAGGTTGGCCATCCGGGTAAATCTTCAGATCGAGTGTAGGAGAGACTCTAACTGGACATAATTAATGATTTTCCAATCATGTATGATTGATTAATCACACAGCTAAAAGGGCATCAAGATCCTTTGTCCATCTAAGCCCAGTTGAGTTTCCATTACATGGTTATCGTCCAAAAGGTAATTCTAACACAATTTGCCAGAGTTCACACATTTAACTCAACTAAATTTAGCTTGTTGAACCATCAAAGTACTTGGGAAGCTTGAAAATCTCTAACAATTTGAAGATTTAATTAAAAAAGGAAAGGTAAACAATCAACTTAGATCAGAGATTAACCAAAAACTTGGAAATAAATGAGAGGGAAAGTTACAGATATTAAATTAACTCTTTCTTACCTTAATTGTAGTTAATTCTCTTATGTTTGTTACATGTCGAAAGAATCTAAAAACATTGCTTAACGTAAATTAATTGCAATTAATTCTCGTACTTGATTAGACAATTAAATTTCCAATTGAATGGAAGAGAAAAAAATTGAAAAAAGAAAATTGAAATTCGGTTCGTAATTATGTCAATTTCCCTTTTCTACGCATTTCATCACGGAGTTTCCAGAAAATTCACAATTAAGAAAATATTGTTTACACTTTTGTTCTTTAATTTGATTTGATTGTTAATTGTTATTATTTGATTATTTTCGATTATTAATTAAAGCAAATATGCTGTCCTACGTTTTATTGAGAAATTGTTCATCATCTTTGAGTCGAGGTTTACTTCAAGAAGCTAAGGCTAATATTGTTTCTAAATGTGGTCTACGTCAAGATGCTACAAGGGTTAAAGGTATTTTCGGTGGTCGAGCTGAGCCTAAAGTTAGTCTGAAGGAACGATTGATGAAACCAACTTCTGGTGCACCTTTGCCTTTGGACGAGCTGCTGTTACCGCGGGATCTGGTCTTGGTCTTGGTGCTTTGTGTTTCTATGGACTTGCTTCACGTCAAGATGCCATAATTGATAAGTCATTGTAAGAGGCTATTGATCGTCTTGATTATATTTTTTTCTAATCTTCTATTGGTTTAAATTGTTTTAATTTTCTATTTAGAGCTTGGCCAAAACATGTTCAAGATAGAATACATGCTACATTCGCTTATTTCGGAGCCAGTATCGCTGTGGCCGGTTCTGCAGCTTATTTAGTCACCCGATCTCCAGCATTGATGCGTTTGGTTTCATCTAATTCATTACTGGTAAATCTCGACTTTTCAATTTAGAGTCTTTCAATTTGTCTTTGGCTACTAATTTATGTTTATTCTCAATTTCCTAAAAGGCTTTTGGAATTACCATTGCAGCTTTAATTGGTCTCGGAAGTATTTCAGCAAGTATTCCATATTCTCCTGGATTTGGATCCAAACAATTAGCTTGGTTGGCCCACAGTTCTTTATTGGGAGCTGTAATTGCTCCAATATCTTTCGTTGGTGGACCTTTGATCATGAGAGCTGCTTTGATCACCGCTGGTGTCATTTCCAGTCTTTCACTGGTCGCTGTTTGTGCTCCAAGTGAAAAATTCCTAAATATCGGAGGTCCATTGGCCATGGGATTCGGTTTAGTGTTTGCTTCATCATTAGGTTTGTATTTATACAATGACGAAGTATTTATCTGATTCATAGCTGAATACTTTTTTTTATCTCATAAATGATGAAATCAGATTCTTCTATTGTATCATTTCAAACTGAATCTCTTACATAATCTGTCGTAATCTCTATTTCGGATGATTTTTATTTTCTTTCAATGATTTCAACTTTCATTATTCTCTTCTCTCTATTTAGCATCAATGTTCTTAGCTCCAACTTCCGCTATCGGTGCTTCAGTATATTCTATTTCCCTGTATGGTGGACTTCTTTTATTCTGTGGTTTCATGCTTTATGATGTTCAAAAGATCGTCAAACGAGCTGAACACACCCCATTATATGGAGCTCGTCCTTACGATCCAATCCAAAAGTACGTTGCATTTTATATTATTCATTTGAATTCCTTTCCAATCTAATTCGTTCTTATTTCTATTTATTTTCAACAGTTCGATGTCCGTGTTCATTGACACACTTAATATCTTCACTCGTATTCTTGCAATGTTAGGAATGGGTGGACAGAAGAAGAAATAAGCTAATCATTAGTAAATTTCTTTGATTATGAGCAACTAGATTTGTAAATTATTTCTACCCCAAGATTATCCTGTTAATTCAATCCTTTGGTCAATCGGTTTCATTGTGTGATTCAAATGAACCAAAGGCGTAATTAAAAGACCTTAATTCCTTTATTCAAACTCATAAACTCATTTTACACGTGAATAGTTGTCATGAATGAACCTCTAAAAAGGCCATAAACATTGTAGAAATGTATTGAATTTCAACCGATTTACTTATCAATAGTAAATGAATATAATCAATCACCAGTTTAGAGATCAGCTTAATTATAATGATAAATTTTGTTGATATTGGTTATGATCATATGTAAAAGGATTAAATTCAATTATATCTTTCATGTAAAATGATTTAAATATCTACATAATCACGAAATATCTCTACGGTCTTGATAATCTAATGGAAAATGTTGATTGGCTTAACTAATTTACTAATTAAGTTCTTATGAACGTCATAGACACTAAATTTTTCCTGGAAAATGAAAGTAAATCAATGAGGCTGATCAATTTTGATGGAAATTAAATAGTTGGTCTTGATTTTTGTTTCACATTTGTAAGAACTTGACATCAATTAATTGTCAACCAGATACGATCTAAATCACACATAATTAACTGCAATTGGAACCATATAAATAAATAGATTGTGATTAACCATAGTTATTGAAGGCACATTTTTTTACGATGAAACTATTAAGAGTTGATTGATTGCTGTTGATAAAATGTAAATGTTTAAGGAAACAAGTCTAATTACGGTTGTAATTTTAATCACATTTTTTTTTACTTGGCCTTAATACTCTTTGATTTGATCAAATTACTTGGAAATGTTCAATTGGATTAAATGAATGACAGAGCAACACAAATGATACCAGATGAATATTCAACAGGTAGTAAAGGAAAATTTAAACCAACATAATTTACTGTTTTCAACAGTTCAATTGATTGTTCCAGGGATTCAGAGTTTTCTCAGATCAATAAATGTACCAAAATAAACGAAGATAATAATAATCATAATGACGATGATAATATGGAAGAAAGAAAATGAACCAATTTGATTAAACACCTCCAATTATCTCCTTTGGTAACAGCGAACCAGCAGCTTTATCGAGTAACCAGATCAACTCTCCTCTATCGGGTTGAACTCTTCCTGCAGGATAATCATCACCATCGACAAAAATTTTCTATGGAACAAATGAACAATTGATTCCACCAGAAATCAGCTATTAATCAAATCTCTTTTCTCTAATCAAACTCTTGACTTACCTTCAATATCTCGGCCTTTGATAGTCCAGTGCAAACGAAGATAATTGAATCAGAATTGTTGATTACAGGGTAGGTAAGAGTAACTCGTTTTGGTGGGGGTTTCGGTGAGTCTCCAATGTATCCAACCCAACTAATTTGTTGCTATTAAATGAACGCAATTAGTCAATACTTTGATCATTTAAGTTGAAATCTCTTTATTACTAACCTCCAATAACTTATGACCAGGGAACAATGAAGCTGTATGACCATCAGGACCCATTCCAAGAAGGATAAGATTAAATCTTGGTAAAGCCAAATCTTCATCAATTTTAACCGTTGATCTGATTTTCTCGGTATAATCTCGAGCAGCTAATTCACCATCAAGATCTGGATTAATAACAATGAATTGATCCTTTTTCAGAGGTGTCACATTTTCAAAGGCTCTCCAATAGCATCCAAATGTAGATTCTGGATCATCAAATGGAACAATCCTTTCATCACAGAAAAACAATCTCCATCGGGTCCAATCAACGCAACTCAGGGTGGGCAATGTTTTAATTAAACTGTTAATTAATGAACCACCGGATAAGCCAATTGTGAAAAGCTTATCGGTACAATTATCATAACTCTGTTGGATTAACAATCTCAACTCAGCGTTAACATCATCGGTATTTGGTAAAACTTTAATTGTTTTCATGTTGACACAGAAACGTTAGTACAAAGTTAGACAATTAAACTACAACTCAATTGATCAACTAAAAGTTGTGACAAAAATATAAACAATCAATCAAACGATCAATCAAAACACTGACAAACAGAAACCTAGTGACATCTAACGACAGAATTGCACAACTAATGGAAAGATGAAAAATTTCAGCGGTTAAATTGTTCAATTAAATAATTTGATCACTACAATTGATTTGATTTTCGATAGATTAACAATATCTAAATAACAATTAACAATTGGCAAAAACTTTTTATGTGTCAAGAAATAACCATTAGAAACCTTAGCAAACACAACGTCCTAAGTATCGGTCAAGTTTCCGACTAGTTACTTGATCGTTATGATTAAGTTTGATTCTTAAACCAAGGATGAGCTCTAATGATTAAAAGATGATTAATTAAGAAGCTATTTTGTTACAGTTTTGTGAAGAATTGAATTTGCAAAATATTAATAGTTGATTGACAATCAAATTAAGCTTCTAATCAACTCGATAATTTGTACTCTGTTTAACTATTGATACTCCGATTTGTTTTTAATTTTGATTGTTTTTCTTTGATTTCGATCTTTAAATTTCAATATTTAAGTTATTATTTCAGTTCTTTCAATGATGATTTTGATTAGTTTATCAACCAAAGATCGATAATTGATCAATTCAGAAGTTTTATTCTTTTCGATTGGGAAAAGTCACTTTTCATTTGATTGTCCAAATTACTCTGAAGGCTCTTTGGTTCCAACAGATGACGAACCATAAAATAGATTTTACTGTTCTTGAAAATTATCATCTCATCTACTTTGATTACGATTCAACAAAGCCAATAATTAACAATCTATTAGATAATAATCTCAATTAAACTTTTCTTCTAAAAGTCGAAGCGAAAAATTTAATCGATTTTAAGCCGAAAATAACATTCGATTCCCACCAAATAATCGCTTCAAGAAAAATCGAAAATGTGGAAAATCGATCAAAATTGGACTTTTTTCGATTTTATAAAATTGTATCGAATGAAATAAAATCGACTCAAAAGTGTTTAGAGAAACACTTCACCTGATTTTTTTAATTAGAATTAAATTGTTTCTATTTCTTTTTGCTTTGTTTATTATCTATATTTATCTCGTTCTCGTAGTTTTATTTGGAATAGAAAAATTCAAAATGAATTCATCAAATTCTAATCATCCCGAAAGATCTTCAATAGCTGCTCATCTTGTTGTTCCAATTCTTATTAAACCAATTCTTCACAAGGTAAGTTATTCCAATTAATTATCCATCAGCTGATTATTTTCTTTTCTCTAATTTTCTATTTCCAGTTGGAGCGAGAGAGTAGTGACTGTGCTCATGCCATAAGATGTTCCTTGATAAAAGTAATTATTTCATCTTCTTTTTAGAATATGAGCTGAGTGGAACAATTTTTAATTCTCTCTATTCATTTACAGGCTGAAAACTCTTCGCCCGGAATTTTACTTGAACTTTTGATCGCAATGATCAAAAAAGCGGACCTTTCAGTGAACATAATTGAATCGTTGCTTAGACTCCAGGGAACTATTCCTGAATTTGATGGTATCTATTCCATTCAGACATGATTCAGCACCTGATCTATTTTTCTATTGGGGTGAATCACAATGAATCTTTTGTTCCAATGATCACTAATCAGCTGTACAATTTTTTCTCTTTTCTTCTTTCAGATTACATAATTAGACGAAGAGAAGAACCTTTCCAAGAGATGAATAAAAAATCGGTAGTTCTAAGGAAAATTCTGTCCCGTATTCCCGATGAAATCAATGACAGGCCAATTTTTCTTGCCACCATAAAGTAAATACGTTGTTCTTGTTGATTAGCCAACTAATCATATCAACTGATTGTTTTTATTTTCTAGGGAAATTGCCAGTGCTATAAAGAAAATAATGGATTGTGTCAATGCAATATCAGATTATACCTTCGATTTATCGGATAAACAAGTTTTAGACATTCGAAAAAGAGAATTTATCAAATATTCCAAAAGATTTAGCACAACTCTTAAAGAGTTTTTCAAGGAAGGAGAGTAAGAATGATTTAGAACTTAATTAATTCCCATGAATTTGATTTCTCATCTTAATTTTCATATCCTTTTTTTCAGGTCAACTAGTGTTTACATTAGTGCTGCTCATCTGATCCACCAAACTAATCTACTTCATATTACAGTAAAGGACAAATGTGACAATCACCATAAATAATAAATCGGCAATAATTTGAAATTTGTACTGAAACTAATAATTAGTAAAGTTTTTTACGATGAAACTATTAAGAGTTGATTGATTGCTGTTGATAAAATGTAAATGTTTAAGGAAACAAGTCTAATTACGGTTGTAATTTTAATCACATTTTTTTTTACTTGGCCTTAATACTCTTTGATTTGATCAAATTACTTGGAAATGTTCAATTGGATTAAATGAATGACAGAGCAACACAAATGATACCAGATGAATATTCAACAGGTAGTAAAGGGAAAATTTAAACCAACATAATTTACTGTTTTCAACAGTTCAATTGATTGTTCCAGGGATTCAGAGTTTTCTCAGATCAATAAATGTACCAAAATAAACGAAGATAATAATAATCATAATGACGATGATAATATGGAAGAAAGAAAATGAACCAATTTGATTAAACACCTCCAATTATATTCTTGACTTACCTTCAATGTCTCGACCTTTGAAAGTTCAGTACAGACGAAGATTATTGAATCAGAATTTTTGATTACAGGATAGGCAAAAGTAGCTCATTTTGGTGAGTTCCCAATGTCTTATTTTATAATTTTAGTAAAGTTTTAATTAGACTGGTAGGAAATCACCAGATAAGCTTATTCGGAAAAGCTTATTCAAAGTCATCTCAACTCTTTAACAGGCTTTACTCAGCGTTAATTTACTGGGAAAACTTTAATTGTTCTCATATTGATATCGTGCGACAATAGTGATTTAGATGCAATAACTCATTAATAGTTTAATTTTTTTCGAAATAATTGTCTCAACAGAACTTTTGGCTTTAAAAATCAAGCGAGTCGATTTCAAGCCGAAAATATTTCGGTTATTTTTCAAATAATCGCTAAAAATCATGTAGACGAAAAGTTTAATGCTTCAATTTACTTTCTGTCAATTGGAAATTTATGTGAGAAATAATTAATTTCTCATCATCAACAATTGAAGCCATTTAATCAACCATAAATTGAACTTATATTTACATGTATTTGTTATTAGGATTGGAAGAGAAACCAAGTCCAATTCCTCGATTGATGTGGGTTGACATTCTCGCAGCGGAATATTGCTTATCCAAATCATTGAATAAAGTTTCTTGATACTTGACCATTGAATCGGTATTATCAAGTTGACCAGAAGATGTTGTCGGTTTACTGCCCATAAGTTTAAGAAATTTTTCCGTCATTTGTTGCCCTTGAGCTCCAGAAAATTGTAATCCTTGCCAAACTTTCTTGGATTGCTAGAAAGAGAGAGAGAGAGAGAGAGAGAGAGAGAAATTGAGTGATAATTTGATAGAATTTAACTAATTGATCATTAATTACCTGAGAAACATCCTTATTGTTTGGGCCCCAGAGGAGTTTCTTCTTCTCTTCCTGAATGGCATATTTGGATGCATTGAAAGTTGTCGGATTATAATATCTCGGCATCGAAGAGCCTGAGGGTACCAAATTTGTTGGTATTAATGTTGAGGTCGAAGGGGTGAGCATGGAGGGTGTCATAAATAGGGGATTCGGGATAAGTGGAGTCGCATTGGTAGTGGTTAAGTTTCCTATGAATGGCGGACGATTCATATTAATCAGATGATGATTATTAATAGTTGAGGCACTAGGCAGTTGTTGAGGGGGTGAGATGAATCCTAATCGTGATTGATTATTCATTTCATTTCGGAGTGTTGATGGTACTGATGATCTTCTTGAATGTGAATCTCTTCCTGAAGATGATGAATGGTGTTGATTTGAGTCAAAAGATTCTCTTGAATTACCATCACGATTATTAGAATAGTTTCTGTGATGCTCACTGTGATGATATCTATGGCTCGACCTTGAATTACCTGAATCACGATGAGAACGCCCTACATGGTCATCGGAAAAGTCTCGATTACTTCTTGATTTTCTTCTATTTTTATCTCGTTCAGATCTTGAAGAATCTTTATATCCATACCTATCATCACGATTATACTTATCATCAGAACGATATGAATTTCTCGAATCACGGCCTTCATCTTTTCGTCTTCGGCGGTCATATTCACGAGATCTACTGCGAGATCTTCTAGGAGACCTATGACTTGAACGATTTAAAGAGATCATTGGTGAGAATCAGGTGACCAGTGGATAATCTATAAGATAATAAAAGGACAAATTAGTGAGTGAAAAGGCTTCAAGTAAGTAGAATCACTTACTACAAGTCGAATAGCCAAAAAATCAATAGAGCAATTTAACCACCCACCTTTAAATAAGAAAAAGGATGAATACTATAGAGTAGAGAAAAAGATAAATGAAGATGGAAAATGAAGCGTATAAAGATCTGAATAGAATTGAAACAAAAAGAACACAATAACTGATGAACTTCCAGAAGAAATTAATAAAATATGAAACTTGGAATCACGAAGAGAAAATCACAATTAAATTAAATGAAGAAATAAACAAAAGAATTGAAGAGATTTTTTCTCGCCAAAAAAGTGACTGTTTTTGTAATCCAATAAACAAATTATTCCCTCTTTTTAACCACGTTTGTTTCTCTAATTTGGTGACATTGGAATTAGGAAGACCAACTTCAGAGAAAAAGGTTAATTGTTGATTGAAATAATTAGAGTTCAGGTTCACAAGGTCACTGAGGTTATAAGAAAACGCCAATGAATATTTGGCTCAATCAAGAAAAAGAAATGTCCATAAATTGATCGATCATATCGATTGATCGAAATTAGAAAATTTCAAAGATCGATCACAGAAATTGTTTAGATATTTACGATTTTTTCTTTGACGTAATTAATTAATTTTCCAAATTGATTCCAACTCATGATGTTGAATTAAACTTGAAGAAGTTCAATCAATTCTTATAAAAGGTTCGACTTGATTCAAGCTAACAAATCTAATCCGAATCAACATAAGAATTTAGAAGAAAAAGTTGACAATTAATCTTTGAATGGATTTTATTGATTTTCCATTTCCATTTCAATTTCGATAATTAAATGATAAATAAACAATTTATTCTTCACTCAAATTCCGATATTGATCGACCTTCCAGCGAACTCTGATTTTAATTTAACTTGGAACTCGAAAGTTGACTCGATAACTTTGTTTTCTCTTTCGATCGCAAATTATGGTTAATAGAATTCACGATGAGATTATAATAGATTCACTTTCTATTGATAATTAATCTTAATCAATTCTAATCTTGAAAGATTTTCACTACGAGTTTCAGGTGAACCTAAAGAGTTAATGTCATGAAGTTCATGAGGAAATGCCGAATGAAAGAAAAAGAAAGAGAACATGCGTGAGGCGCGAAAAACGAAAAGAATAAAATGTCAAGAGAAAGAATATAAATTGATCAGTTTCGCAATTTCGTGAAACTTTTTCTATGGATCTTCATGGTGACCAATCTAAAGCTCATAACCATTGATTCAGTGGTTATCTAACAATCTTATAGTTGATAAAGGTAAAAATAGAAATGGTTATTCAAATCAATCATTAGATTGTTTTGATTCATTACAATTTGTGTTATTTTTAACCAGTATTTTCAATGATATTTTGTGCTTTTGAGAGGGTTACAAAAAATATAGAGAATGAGATTACATAAATTCAATTCCTGTACAGAGGCTGAGAGAGGAAGAGAAAGCAATAAACATAGAGAGAGAGAGAGAGAGAGAGAAAACATAAAGAAATGTTAATAAAGGTTATGGGGGAAGAGAGAAATACATTTCTACATTTCTAATCTACTAATTTTCTGAAGTACATCCTCTATATCACAATTGGAGGAAGAAATCATCGGTTGGTTGAAGATTCTATTCTCATTGGGAGCATGACGATGATTGGGATGTGGATGGTGATGATTAATATGATGGTCCTCTCGAATAGTTGAATTGTTGACTTGATTTTGAAACTGATTGTGATGTTGACTAAGGTGATGGTGGTGAAGATGAAGATGATGGTGATGATGATGGTCCTCTTGAAAGGTTAGGCTATTGAGATCATCTAGAGATTTGGATCGGATAAATGTTCCTTGTTCTGGTAAATGTCGATCAGTGTTTTTAAAGCAATTTGTACTCCAGCCAATTCCGGTTTCTATGTAAGATTGTAAGATTCCTTCATTTTGTTGATGAGATTGAGGTAACACAGAGGAAGAGTAAATATTGTTAACCGAATTAGCCAAAGGATTTTCGTCACAATTTTGAGAATTAAAGTTTGAATTGAAATTATGATGAACCGAATTATGAGCTGCTGGTGAAGTTAATTGTTGTTGATGAGTAATTGATTTGTAGACAGAATTGTGGTCCATTTTGACATAAATAACTAAACAAATAACGTTGTAAGAGATTTTTACAGTTTTCTCGGTTCAGCTTTTACTCTCTTTCCATAACCATGACGATTAGAAACAAAACTTCTTCTGCCATCTATCGGGTAAACACTAAGTCTTTTCGTGAATCGCTCATCCCAATAGATGGCGACAAACAGATTCTTTTACTAATCTGGTTTTGATTGATTCGTTTTCTTGATTTTCTGAGAGAAAAATTAATTAATTTGTGAATTGATCAGAAATTAATATTTTACAAACTGATTGTAATCGTAACAATTAAGATTGAGTGAATGGACAATCAATGTTTTCTGTTCATTAAGTAAATTGAAAAAGAGACTGTTTTTTAGAAGTTACATTTTTGGTATATAAAGATTGGACTTTCTCATCCAATTCATACTTACCTGGCTCCGAGAACCCTGTGATCAAAAAGGCAGGGACTCCGGGTCGAGGCCCTCTCATTGCACTCCGAGAGTGGCTGAAGCCCGCCACTAACTCAAAACGAGTTAGATGGGGAGTGATATTTTTGGTAGCGGGGTGATTGCGTTCGCGCAGCACCCCTTTATCTATTATAAAACAAGAGCAGAAAAGCACCAAAGAAGAAGGGGACAAGTGCCACTTCAGTTATCAATTTTGTTCGACTTTTGAAGAATCTTCGATTGAGAACAATCGTCGAACAGAATTGAATCAATTCCATGAGAAATCGAGTCTCAAATGTCCATTGATCTTATAGTTAATTTTGTCTCTTCGACATAATTTACTTAACCATAGAGACATTTTCATAGTAAAATCAGATAGTTAAAGTGAGTTAACCTCGACAGAGTCTAGAAAATGCTTGACAATCAACTGGATTAGTTAATATCTTTAATTGTGTTAACTGAATTTACGTTGATTGCTTTTCTTTCAACGATTAATAAATGTCGCTAATTGTCATTGTCTTAAATTCTCATTTCAAAGTTTCAGAAGACAAAACAATTGAAAATTACGAGTAAAATGTAATTTAATTGATTGATTGTTACAATCAGATAGACGATAAATTGTTGTACTTCAATTGGTAATTGAAATGACTAATCAAATGTTGGTAATGATTGTATAAGTTAATAGTAATTAACTCAATCAATTAGAAACATTTTCAATGAATACAAAGAAAAAATATTAAAATCAATTTGATTAAATAATCAATTAAACGATTAAGCTGATCCTTATAATTACTAATTCCTAACCAATTGTTACGAATCAACCTCAAGACGATAAATTGAAATAAAATGTCCTTCTCATTCAACATTCTGTCCTAATGACCGATCATAATTACGAAAGGATTAGTAGAATGATTAATTAATGAATCATGTGATTAAAAGGCTGATAATCAAGATAATTAAATGGTATTATCATCATAATGGAATTGAGGATAATCTTGATTATAATGAATACAGTAGATTTGATTTTTAGGTTTTATGGATAAAACATTTTTATATATTTATAATATATCGCAATTGATTTAATATGAGGGCATATTTTACAAATGGAATTGTTTCTGTAATTAATAATGTTGAAAGACATGATTAAGTTCTTGTTTATCATCAATGGCCCTGAGAAGAGCGTCATCAAATGGACTAGAGCTTGAGCTCTCAAAATCTGCTGGGTTGATTCTAGTCTTTGGAATAAATTGTTGTTGATTATGTTGATGGTGTTGTTGGTGTTGGTGTTGGTGTCTAATTGAATTATCGATTGAATTATTACTAGAATCACATTTGATTTGAGAAGGTCTTAAAATGCCAAAATTTTCTTGTAAAGTGGCTAAACTGGTAGGCACCGAGTTCCTCCTTGAAATGACCACATTGTTAACATCGTTAGTAGAGTTCATGTTATTAAGATCAATTTCTTTTGAGTTATATCTTAAATCATTTTCTGTAGTAAAATTGTTGACTGGAATAGGCGTTGGTAATGAAGAAGATGTTGATGTTGATGATGATGCTGATGGTGTTGCTACTACCAAAGATGAACCTTGAGAGATACTCTTGGTAACATTATTACAAATAAAATTATTGGTAGATGAACAATTGATAACACTTGGTGTATTATTATTATTATTATTATTGACAATCACACTGTTGATACTTGTGGTTGGATAAGGTGATTGATGTGGTCCAGGTAATATAGACCCATGGATAGATAATGGTAATTGTACAGGTAAAGGAGTTGATAGGGTGTTGGACACTGCTGATGGTTGAGAAGTTAATTGTTGTTGTTGTTGTTGTTGTTGATGTGATACAGGCGATGTAATTGAATTTGTTACAACGGGTTGAGAAGAAGAAGAAGGTAAATTAGAGACAATTCCGTTAATTGGAACACTGGTTAACATTGGTATGCACGGTGATCCAGGTACAATTGGTGAAATATTATTGATTGATTGGTCAATTGGCTGTTGATGATTATCATCAAAATTTTTCAATTTACTAAAATCTTTAACTGATCCTGATTGAAGTAGTCTTTCCGTTTCTTTAATTTTCTCCTCCTCTGCAATCTCAACCATGTTGATTGCTTCTTTTTCAATTTTAAAATCATAATCATCCTGTTCTTGTAATTGTTTAGTAAAATTCATACGCATCATATTTTTTGGTTAACAAAGACAATGGAGAGACCAAGTTAATGGAAGAAGGAAAAGAAAAGAAAATGAGGAAAATATTAGCAATTTGTAAGAGCCAAAAACAGCAAGATGATTACATTTGACTGATTAATGACAACAAACCTCATCTTGATTGAGAGATAAAATCTCAGGCATTTCAATACGAAAATACTTGGGCATGTAACTATTTGATATCTTCATTGGAAGGTCGTCAATGTAGTCTGAAACTGTAAGAGAAATAAAGAGAAAATGATTACAATTAGAATGGAAACAAAAGATTAACCAGTTAAATGGTTATAAATTAGATCAGGCCAAAGAACAAGCTAATAGTTACAAGGACAAAATACCAATGAAAAATGATTAAAGTGTTTGACAAATGATTATCATTAAGTAATTACATCAACAGTAGAGAAAGAAACTCAAAATGAAAAACCCAATAGAAGACTAAGCGAGTTGAGAATTACAAATTCATTTGGAACAATTTACAAACTCTTCGTCGGATACAATTGATTACTTACTTTCATGATTACTCCAAGACATTATACCTTAAAGGCTAATTAGTATAAATCACAAATTAAATGAGAAACAATTGAAGACAGAAAAAAATTCATTTGAAAATAACAAAAAAAGTGAAAACCAAATGAAATGTCAATTTCTCAGGGACCGTATACATTTGCGATCAGTTGATTCCAAAAGTCTAACTTACATTTTCATTCAAATTGTTACAATAAAAAGTTAGAAATTTAATTTTACCTCGAAAATTTGATTTAGAATCAAATCTTTCGAGTTTACTTGAGAAATTTAATCCATGCAAGTTTGATTGTTTTATGTTTAAACAATGAAATATAAATTTTTTATTAATCACAAATTCAACATTTTCACTTGCAGCTGATTTTTTGGCTTGAGATTCACAGCTATTTGTGAAAAACTAATTAATTAAATAAACTGATCGATTAATTACAATCGACAATTTATGATTGTTTTACACTTTTGGTCACAGAAAGTACAAAATAAGTTTACACAGAACGATAAATATAAGTGATTCGTGAAAAATAGAGCTAATTGTATGCCAATAGCTGTCGCAACACTAATTGTGGGGTCGTTTGATTGTCTTAGGCAGTGTATGTTAGGTAAATCACATTATCACCATGTGCAAAAAGACAATTTTTGCAGGTCCCATATAAAACTGGGAAATCTTCGGATAATGCTCATCAAGACAGATAGTTTGCCGTCCAAAATTACAGAAACTTGTTCGTGAGCTTGGATTAGGGTTACCTATGCCTTTATCAACTTCTAAGAATAGTCTGTCCGAACTGAAGTATAGTTTTCCTGTTTCTATCATTTCCTTGAGATTTTTCTCCTTTATATCTTCTCTATGATTGAACAGGGGAATTTTAAATTTTAGTCTCATGTAGGGATCCTTTTCGTCCTGCACTGAGAAATCAATGGCTACAATGGCATATATTTTTTTAATTGTAGTCGGATTCTGCCAACTCCTAGGTATTAAAAGGGTGGACATGGTTGATTTTTCTTCCAATCTCCTTTTGTCTCTATTATTTGAAAAAGAAAACAGAAAAAATCAACAATTAACAATCAGAATGTCATCAGTCAAAAATCAAGCAAGAGATCAAAGCAATGAACCAAAAGCATGACAACAAGTGAAACATTGATTAGAACGATTAACTGAATAAACAATTCGGTGCCCAATTACTTACCTTGATTTTCTTAATGACAAACAAATAAAAACGAATTACAATCAAAACAAAAATGTCAGAAGAAAATGTTTCCGATCTTGAAATTTCTTGGTCGATCCTGAGGGACCGTTTTCGTTTGCGATCAGTTTATTTTCTCTTTTCTTTTCAGTTTTTTCTTCCGATTGACTTTTTTCTTGTTACTCTTTTTCTCTTGTGTTTATTATTACTCGTTGGTTCGATTTCTTTTAATTAACCAATTAATTGACAATTAACTTGACCCATTCTCAATTTAACTTGACCAATTGTTAGAGAAAGGTAAGTAAATCTATTTTAATTCTAAAATTAATCTAAATTCTCTATTAACATGATCAATGTTTCATATTCCATTTTCTTGTTCATTGGGAAGAAAATTTTTTTCTCCTTTTTTATTTTTGATCAAAATTTTCTCTCAATAAATCGGTGATACAATTTAATTACTAGTTTATGATTTTCAATGAAAGTGATTAGTTAAACAATCTTCAACTATTCAGCTTCATGTTTGTAGTTAAATTAGTTAATTGTTTATTTCTTTGTCTCTATTAACCAAAAAACTGTCTTTTTGTTTGCTTGTTTAGTTTCATATTCTTGTAAAAAGCATTAGCTTCTTACTCTGTTGGTTTGGTTTTTCTCAATCGCTGGTGGTTATATTTTGTTCCTTGTTTTAAATTTACACTAATTGTTGTGTTTAAAGCATCAAAATTTCAATCAATTAGGTGAGTTAATTTATATTCAACCAATTTTCATACCAATCGAAACAATTTTCTCAAAATTTTGAGAAAATAATTCAATCTCTTCATAATTGTTGGTACTTTTTCTATTCTCTTTTTTTTCTATCATTCTTTTCCTTTTGCATTGACTTTGGTTAACCATTTTCTATTTCTATTGTTTCTTCAGTCAACAATTTAAAATTTAAAATTTTTCTTCAATTGTTTACCCTAATTCGATTAATTTATTTCCAAATTAATTTCACCTTTCCTTTGATTATCACCATTTTGGTCTCTCACCATCGATGAAAATCTCAATCAAATATCTTGATCTCTCATCTAAACCATAACATCATTCAGAATATCAGTCACCATCTTTTTCTAAACCATCGCCATCATTCAATTATTTTACTATTTAACTAATTAGTATCTGTTAATTTATTAATTTTCAGGCTTCATTATTTCTCGTTCTCTTCTGTTAATTGTTAACATTTAACATTCTTTGTAAGTAAAATTTACATTTCTATCTCATCCTGACAACCCAAAACAAGCCGCAAATGTATTTGCTTTTTTCTCGTTGACCTGAAATCTTCAAGATTAACTTGAAGCTTTTCTAATTGAAACAATTCCATGTTTACCTTCAAACTATCATTTTAATTGTTTACAATCTAAACAATTAATTAATCATCTTGAGTTATGAGTAAAGAAATCAATCATTTCCATAATCATTAGTTGCTAATTATTTACCATTTAGCCTGATTTTCACAATTTACTCTTTCTTCCCAATATGAGCCATTTTGTTTTTGCTCTCTCCCTCTCTCAACATTATCAACCTAATTTTTGTAGTAATTTTTTCACTTCACTTGAAAAAAATTATCTCCAACAATTAACGATAGTCAATATTATCGATGGTCAATCATAAAAAATTACAATTAACCAAAGGGCTAAATAAAAACATCAGAAAAAATCAAAACTCTAACCAACAATAGTAGATAGAGTTTGGTCTGAATTAGATAGATAGAGAAATCGGCTTGAAATAAGAATCATTTTCAACTTGTTTCTTCTTCTAATCAACTAATTAGCTAATTTAGTTGGTCAATTATGATTGGCCATCACTAATCGATCATATTGGTCCCTTAATTAATTGTAATTCCAATGAAAAGAGAACCCAAACTAACCAAATCTATTCTTATTTCTCTATCTAACTGAGGTTCTCTTTTCCTTCCACTACAAACACAATGTCAGTAATATCTTTCTCTCTTTCTCTCTTTCTCTTTCCTTCTCTTTCTTTTCTCTCTTTTTACACTTTTCACTGACTCTCTTTTTCTCTTTCTTTTTTCCATTTGCCTTCTACTCTTCATGTTACAGGTAATACCATTCGCTCCAAGACAAAACAAGAACAAAAAATCCTCTTCTTCCAAGTTGATCTTAAATTATAATTATTCTATTGGCTTGATTATCGTTTTATCATTAACGTAATCAACCAAATCTTTTATTAAAGTGAATACTTTTTATCCGTGGGTCAAGTTTCCATTGTAAAGCAATCAAAATTCCGAAAATGAAGCATAGTGGTCTTCAAAGAGCCAGGCAAAGTACTAGAAAGGTGAGTATTTAATTTTCTTCTCTCATTTTCTAAATCAGTTGGTCAATTAAACTGATTATCGCCGGAATAACCTGACAATCAATTCAATTATCCATCATTTGATATCATTATAGTAAATGTTTAGCTTTCATTTGTCCATTACCATAGATTAAATTATCTAAATCTGGTTTGTTTTACTTTTCAAATGATTGAATAGTATAAGCAAATATAATAGTAGATGTTGATAGTTGATGATGATCAACATCATCCATCTGATTGATTTTGATTCTCCATATATTATATTGTTTTGATTAAATTATTTTCTTTAATTTACTTGATCTAATTTTCTAATGTTTTCTTCTTTTCTCTCTTTCTTTCTCTTTCTCCCTTCTCTTTCTTATATTTATTTTTCTTCTTTTTTAGAAAATGAAAAAATCATTAGGCCCAGATTTTGTTGATCCCTCAAATTTGGGTCTTCACGGAAAGGAAACATCATCTGATGTTCGATGTGACATTTGCCATGAAGGTTTACCGATAAACTCCAAGAAAGACTGTATCACTTGCAAGAAATGTGCTATTCGAGGTAATCATCACTAATTATCTATGTTAATGGGCTGATCGTTGTGTTAATTGTGATCAATAACAGATCAACACCATCTCATAGATATTATTATTACCATTTTAACTTCTGTTTACTAATTAATCAAATTATTTCTCTTCTCATTTCCTTCTCTTTTTCACCCTTTCCATGGACTTCACTTTCATTTAATTTTGCGCTTTTTTTTGGTACCTAAAGCTCATGCTAACTGTGTTAGAACCCAATTAAATGTTAAGTATATTAAATCTCTCTGGTTGTGTGTAAATTGTAGACATTGCTACGAATGTGACAAGTCTGGTGTTGAACAGGTAATTATTAGTCAATTAACGTTTTGAATATTTAATCTTTAATTTCGTACAATATTTCCATTGATATTAATTGATACATTTTCTTTTCTTTTGTAGAGTGAACTAGTATTCTGCCGATCATGTGATAGATCTTATCATTATGATTGTACCGAAGACAAAGGTATCCATAATAATGGTAAGTCAATAATCAGTGTCCATATTGATGAGAAAAATGAATGACCATAAATAAAAATTGAGTTGATTCTATTAATTTGTCTTTTCATTGCTTTCTTTTAGGTAAATATGTTTGCTATCGATGTGCAAAACCTCCTGTAATTAGTACACGATTAAGCACCACACCACGTCAAAATAGTTCTACTACAACTACAGCCACAACTACTCCAACTACATCGGCAACCACCAGCAGCAGTACCAGTGTCACTAACACTACGACTACTTCATCGGCAAACGCTACACCTAATGGTAACAGTAATCGTGTCACTGCTAGAACTGTCAACAAAATTCAGCCTATTGAAGGTAAATCATCTACCACAATATCATCTCATCCTTCTACATCTACTTCATCATCATCATCAACACCAACTCCATCAACATCACGAGCCTCATATCACGTTAAAAAGGAAATGATCATGGAGAAAAGACGTCCTAGAAGTCATTCTAATAATCCAAATGACCGTGCATCGCACCCTGATCGTCAACAGCCCCAATCGAGATCAGTAAGAATCGGGCGTCGTGAAAATTTAATGCATTATTTCAGTGACCCACTAAAATACACAAGCCATGGAAGATTCATGCTCTTGAGAGATACCAAGGAAGCAAGACTTGTAGATCAGTCTTTTGGAATAACAGATGATCGATCAGTGGTAATAAATCCAGTTACTAATAAACATGAATCGGGACTACGAAATAATCATAACCAAATATCTTTAACCATTGATGATTTACGTCGACTTCAAACGGATCGTGTAAAAGAATTAAAAACTTCATCTGAACGCTCCATGAAAATTAGTCACAATGTTACTGATTCAAGGAATAACATTGATTTACCTGACATTGACATGAAAGACTCGTTTACTGATAAACCATTAACCAGGGATAATAATGACAAACTATTGGAAAAACCTCGACTAATTAAAAAGATTGAACCAGAAATAGAAAATATTAGTGATAAATCGAAAGATATAAAAAACAAAATCGAAAAACAATCTACTAATGAGAATAGACGAATTTCAAGTGAACCTTCAACCGAGAATAGTCGTAATCCAATGAACATTAACAAAACCAATGGAACAGGAGTCAGAGGTACTTCTCTTTTGGCTCTTCATGGACTTACAGGTAATGAGAATGAGCATATTAAAGCTTCTCATCCAATTCCACAAAGATTAAATTTACCTGAGAAAAGAAAAGCTAATGAAATTCAAGGTTCAGGCTTTGTATTAAATAAACCAACCGAATTAACTGAAGAAACAGCCAAGCTTCTTAAAGACTCCAATGGTGCTAAAAAACTCAAATTGGTTCTCTTCGAAAGGTATGTTCTTATTATGAAAATTTTCGATGAAAAATTCTAAAACTGTTTGTCTTTCTTTTCTATTATTCTATCCACAGAGCATGTAAGGCTGAGAGCCTATTGCCAGCCGAAACAAGTATTTGGACCACTGAAGACGTTTTTAACTTCATTCGATTCATCGGTTTTCCTGATGCCGCTGACAACTTTTTAGATCATCAAATAGATGGTAAAAGTTTACTTCTTTTAAGCCGTCGTGATGTACTCGCCGGTTTCAAGCTCAAATTAGGACCCGCTCTTAAAATTTACGCTCATATATTCCGATTACAACGTAAAAGACCGGCCCTTCTATTGGAAGATTAAACAATTAGGATAATCAACAAATTAAGGATACAATCATGTTTTACTAAACAACTATAACAATTAGCAACAACTGATTGCTCAAAACAATTTAATTCAGACAAGGCATGATATCTGAAAGGAAACCATATATTAATACCAACCCCAATTAATAATTTCGTCCCCAAGAACTGAACAATTAAGCAACACTTGATGATCCTGTTGATTGGATAAAGGAGAAACAATTAACCAACATGAATATTGTTAAAATTTTATTCATTCAATTACCTGTTTTTTTTTTAATTTGTTCAAGGGACAAACAATGTTTTCAATTAACTTTTTGTATCCGTTGGTAAATAAGTTGCTTGCATCTTTACATATTTACATGTGTATATTTCACTTCTTACCGAATCCACAATTTTTTTCCTTCAACTGATAAATCCATATATTACTGACCTTCATTATTAACAATTCACCTTTCACCTCCTCTTTATCCTCACCCTTATCCTCATTCCCCTACTTAAGAGCATTCAACCAATTGAATTTCTCTAGAAAAAAAATTTGTTCTCTTCAAATATTTTCCTTAATTCCTATTATTATTATTTTTACAATTCACCGTCTCATCATCTCATCTCAAGGAATCAAAAACAATTAACCTTCATCTTTTCACCTTCTCCCCAAAGACTTTGATTTACTGAGAAACAAAAAAAAAGTCCAAACCATGTTGACCTGTTTGAAACTCACACCAACAATTAATCAATCATCCAAAAGGGCAAAGGAACCAAGAAACACTAAACAAAACCTTAATGCTTATATATCGTTAAAAGAAAGACAAACAATTAACTTTTCTCATCCCTCTCCTTGACCAACAATCAACCCAACATGTTAAATTGTATTTCACTTTTCATTATTATTATTATTGAAAAAAAAACGAAACAAAATCATCATTGTAATGAAAATAAAGTTTAATAGTTGAGAACAAAATAAAAAAATCCTAATTACGATTAAAAAAGCTTCAACCAATAACTGATTAGCTTTTCATGGCTAAATCATAACTCGAAAACTATTTAAATGACCGTTAGCGTCGACCAACAATCAGTTCTAATTTAACTCGTTCCAAGTTCACGTTAATTTATTTTCTTTCATCTCATCAGAGAATCAACAGTTTAATCGCTTTAATTTAATTAGTGCATTTTAATAATCAAAGACTAATAATAATCAAAGGTATGTGTTAAATTGTTTTCTTTAATTAGAATTTTTTCAAAAAAAAGTTAATTCGGTTAACCATTTGAACGAAGCGCTTGTAGATTTGTTTATGCGCTTGAATGTTGAAAGAACAACAAATTGATGATCCCGCTAATTTGGATGTTAAGGCGCCGAAACTCATTGTGTACATTTGACATCTTTTTAATTCTTTGCTTGTTAATTTATTTCTAATTTATTACAATTGAATTAATTCTTGTTCTTAATCATTTTCTTTTAATCAACTTGTTTCCACCATGGAAGTTAGAGCGTCACGTAAGTAAATCTTGTTCTCTTTTCTTTTAGATTTTGTGTTCTCTTTGTGGATCTTTTTTTGTATTCTTCTTGTTGCTTGTTTCTTTGGTTTGATCGCATCACTTTTACCTTTTGTTTGATTTTTTTTTCTCTTTGTTTTTATTGATTTTTTTGGTTATATGTTTCTTTTTCTTATGTTCTTGTTCTTTCTTAGGCCGCCCTAAACGTGAAGTTGAGGGTAAAAAGTCTGCTATTAAAGCGGCTCTGGATAAATTATCTCGTGTTCGGAAAGGAATCGCTGAAGATAAATATAATATGAAGGAAGAAGAGAATCTTTTCATTGAAGGAGAAGAAGCTGGTCAATCTGATGATGATGATTTCCTGGTCGATGATACACCAAGTATAAAGACTTTTTTCTCGAAAAGGAAAAAGAGTGGTTATGATAGTGAATCCGATGAGGACGATTATTATGATGACGATGAAGAGGATCTTCAGGAAAAAGTGAAATCAAAGAAAATCAAACCACCTAAACCTTCAGCTATGGTTAAACCAATAAAAGTTGAAGAACCAGAGGAAATTGAAGAAAATTCCGATGATGCTTATGAAATTATGGCATCAGCTTCGAAACGCTTGAAGGGTATGTTTGGTTCCAAAAATAATACTCCACAATCATCGGATCGCCGACGTTCAGCTCTTCTCAAGCCATTGGAAGCTTCAAGAAGTCCTTCGCAAAAAAGAAAACTCGACCAAGACTCTACCGATTCTACCAAATCTAAGACCAACAGTTCAACAGCGATGGAAAGAAAAAAGGTCAAAATCGACTTTGATTCTATCCAACAACCAGAACCAATCAAGTTGTTTGAAGAGGAGCCTGATAATTTTGGTTTAAATGATGAATTGGATGATGGACCCGATATTCCTATCGATTTTGGTGGTGAAGTTGAATCTTGGACATTTGGTTTGAAAGGAATTGCCGATGAAGAAAATGTCACGCAAACAATTGGTAAAGATTTGACTTTCTTCACCGATAAAGATGGTGTTACACACTTAAAGATGTATTGGCTTGACGCTTTTGAGGATACATCCATTCACGCTGGAAGGGCCTACATCTTTGGGAAAATTAAGGTTAAATCTGATGCTAAATCATCAGGTGATTACATTAGCTGTTGTTTAATTGTTGAGAATATAAGTAGAAAAGTTTATCTACTTCCAGCCATGAGAGGAGATAATCGAATCCCTGTAGCTGAAGTACACAAAGAATTCACCGAGAAAATTGCTCCCAAATATAAGATTAAGCTCTACAAGACTCGAAAAGTTACAAAATTTTATTCATTCGATCAAGCCGATGTTCCCTATCAAGCTGATTATTTAGAAGTCGTTTATGGTTCTAATTACTCTGCACTTTCTCCTGATTTGAAGGGTGAAACTTTCAACCGAGTTTTCAACACAACACAAACTCCATTGGAAAGGATGATTCTCGAAGTGAATTTAAAGGGACCTGGTTGGATTCGTGTTAAGAATTTACAATTGGTTCATAATCAAGTCTCTTGGTGTAAAAAGGAATTTTCTGTGGACTATTCGCCGAAAAATATTTCTGTGGAGACTAATGATGTTACCATCCCACCTTTACTTATCGCCTCTCTCAATATGAGAACTCATCTTAATCAAGTTGTTGCTCTTTCTTGTTTTGTGAAAAAAGATTATCAAATCGATGCTGGTATACCATCTAGTCCATTAGACCTTAATCTTAGTTTTTGTTTGGTCACTTCTCCGACTGGTCAAACCCTACCAGTTGAATTTAAAAGAGCTGCTAAAAAGTTTATTAAAGGCCACGAAGATTTGATCAAAAGCTATGACAATGAACAGTACATGTTAAATCAGTTCTTGGTTAACTTTGGTAAACTTGACCCTGATGTTATTATTGGTCATGATTCAGCTTTTGATTTGAATACAATCTTAACTCGACAATCACATTTTAATGACAAAGTAAATTGGTCACGATTGGGTCGTCTCAGGAGAACCAGAATCATCCTCTCCAAATCAAATCGAGATCGAATGGCACTTACAGCTGGTCGATTAGTTTGTGACATTAAGGTGATGGCCAAAGAGTTCATTCGGACTCAAAGTTATGAATTGGATGGATTGATTGCCCATTTATTGAAAAAAGAGCGACTCATTGGACCCAAATCAGTGCCTGAAGCTTATTCTAACTGTAAAAATCTTTTCAGTTTTGTCAATGCTCTTCTAGCTGATAACAGATTCATCATGAGTATGATGTATGAACTCAGTGCTCTCCCATTGGCAATGCAAATAACCAAAATTGCAGGTAATCTTTTCTCACGAACTCTTATGGGTGGAAGAGCTGAACGAAATGAGTATTTGCTTTTGCATGCTTTCAATGAGAAAAATTTTATCCTCCCCGATAAAGTGATGAAAAAATACAACGATCCAAAAGCCGATGAATTAGTCGTTCTGGGAGAGAAAAACTCTGAGGCCGTTGTGGCTGGTAAAAAGAAAGCTGCTTATTCTGGTGGATTAGTTTTAGAGCCTAAAGCTGGATTTTATGACTCACATATCTTGCTGATGGACTTTAACTCTTTGTACCCATCAATTATTCAGGAATACAATATTTGCTTTACAACTGTGAGTAAACGTCGTGTCAAGATTGATGAAAATGGCGATGAAATCCCAGAAGTTCCTGATCCCAGTAAACCCTGTGGCATTTTACCAACGGAGATTAAAAAGTTGGTTGAAGGCCGTCGTGAGGTGAAACGATTAATGTTACAAGAAAAATCAGCCGATCTTCATGAGCAATTAAATGTTAAACAAACGGCTCTCAAATTAACTGCTAATTCCATGTATGGTTGTCTTGGTTTTACTCAATCTCGTTTTTATGCTAAACCTTTGGCCGCTTTGATCACTTACAAAGGTCGAGAAATTTTGATAAACACCAAAAATCTGGTCGAATCTCTTGGTCTAGAGGTAATTTATGGTGATACCGATTCTATTATGATTAATATCGCTAATTGTACTGATTACGATGATGTTATGAAAACTGGTCGAAAAGTACAAGCTGAAGTCAACAAGATCTATCGACTATTGGAGATTGGTATTGATGGTGTTTATAAGCCCATGTTGTTGTTGAAGAAAAAAAAATATGCCGCATTAGCATTGACTCGAGATAAAAATGGTGTAAAGAAAAAATTGGAAATGAAAGGTTTGGACATAGTTCGTCGAGATTGGTCATTAGTCGCAAAAAGAGCTGGTGAGCTAGTATTGAAAGAGATTCTTTCTGATAAATCTAATCAAGAAGTTGTTGATGCAATTCACGAGAGATTGAAGAAAATCTCTGATCGTATAAAAGAAAACATATTCACCCCTGAGCAGTTGAAAGAATTTGAAATAATCAAATCTCTTACCAAAAATCCCGAAGATTATCAAGATAAAAAAGGTTTAATCCATGTGAATGTTGCCCTCCGACGGAACGCTAGTGATAAAGTGGAAAGGAAATTCAAAGCGGGTGATATTGTGCCTTACGTGATTTGTGTCGACGAAAGTAACAAGGAGTTTATGGCCTTACCCTCCACGCAAAGAGCTTTTCATCCCGATGAACTTAAAGAAAATCCTTCGTTAAAAATTGATTCCAATTATTACATAAGCCAACAAATACTTCCGGTTATTTCTCGTCTTTGTGAACCCATCGAAGGAACTGATAGTCACATCATGGCGGAAATTATGGGCGTCGAATCAACCGGATTGCATCGTAGTTCTCGAGAGGAATTGGAAAATGAAGTTCCACTTGATGAAGAAATGAAATTCGATGCCTATGAAGCATTTAAAATACTTTGTCCAAATGACAATTGTGGTAAATTGATTGAGTTCCGAGATCAATTTAGAATTGATTCTGTTACCAAGAAACGAATCAATTTAAGTCTCGCTCGATGTCCTCATTGTAACATTGATCTTACTCTCGAAAAGTTTGAGAATCGAATCATCAATAATTTCATCCTCAACTTACGTAATAAGTGTGATGAATTCACAAAGAATTGGATAAAGTGTATTAATTGTTCATTCAGAACTCGCTGTTGTTGGGGATACCAGAGAGGATTGAAAAAGATTCTCGAATGTCCAAAATGTAGTGAAGACATGGACCAGGAGGTTAGTAATTAAATTCCCTTTAATAATCTTTCTCATCTTAACTATCAAATTCTAATTTTAATTTGATTTCTCTTAATTCCAGGTGACTGATAAAAACTTTCACTATCAACTTTTATTTTATGAAACTCTTCTTGATCGAGAAGGAGCTTTAAATTCATTGTCAAGTGCATCCGAAAAAGGTAAATACTACAATTACTCTCAATGTTTCTATTGTTACAATTTACTAATCAAACGTTTTTTTCCTTAATTTTCAGCTGAATTGGAGACGAAAACTGCTTCATGTACCTCTTTGTACCAATCGCTCTACCAATTAGTCCGCTCACTCCGTCTCACAATGTCTTATACCGATGTTAATCTTTCCAACATTTTCCATTCCCAATTGTTCAGTTGCATTAAAAAGCAGAATAAAAATTGACCGCTGGTCAATTTTCACCGATACTCGAGTGATGACCAAGCCTAAAGCTTATATTATGTTGTTTATTAATGAAAATCCTAATCACTTTACATGATGATTAATCTTGTATTCGCTTAAAAATCAATCAGTTCATTTGTGTGTATTTTTAATCCAAATTTGTATTTCATTTATTAATTTCCACCTTTCAATTTAATCATTCTCATTGTACAAAAGTAAAACTAATCATCTTCACGTTGAGAACAAAAAAATTATCAAAAGTTAACAACTGAAGACTTCATCTCATCAAATGTAAATCAATCCATTCATCACCATAAGAACAAAAAAAAATACAACCAAACATTATCATTACCAATAAGCCTCATCTTAATGATCATTTAACAAAAACCTTCTGATAACAATTAAAGGAAAATCACGTTAATTGTCAATCAACGGACATTTGCAATTTTCTTCAACTCCAAATGAAAATAGAAAAACTTTCAAAACAATAAACCAACTAATCAACAATTAATCTTCTTTCACCAAAACAATCAAATCAATGAATCACAATCAAGATTCTCCATCAAGCCAATTACCCATAATTACCTTTGTGTAAACACTTAATCAACTTTTGGGTTAAATTGGGTTAACACGTGAAAGAGAAACAGATGAAAAAGAAAGAGAAGGAAAAAGTCTTTCTTTTCATCTCTTTTCTATTCTTCTTTTCGGTTGTAATGAAGAAACGACCCCGAGACTTACATCATTTCCAACCATTTCCGTTTGACCGGCGTTGGCAACAATTAAGTTGATTGAAGTTGATCAGTTAACTTGCATTACTGTTTAATTGATTAATTTAGTTCTCCTTCTCTAATTGGTTTACCTTTAAACTCTTCTTGGATTTGTAACAATGTCTCAGGTATGTTCTGGTTTCTGTTGTTGTTTCGGTTGAGTCTTTGTGATTCAATGATTCGCATTATCCCCATGCCTTTATTTTCCTATTTCTATTTGCATATGTTGGCGTTTTCTTTTCTTTTTTTTTGATAATCCGTTATGTGTTTTATCTTAATTTTTATCTAATTGTTTGCTGATTTATTTTTACTTATTTTTTCTCTTTTATCTTTTAGAAATTATATGGAAATTCAGATGACTTTCGAGTCAAGAAAGTTCTCATCGCCAGTCAATACTCTGGGGCTAAAGTTGAACTTGTGGAAACCTCAAGCTCTAAGCAACTTCCCAAAGCTGTCACGATCCAAAAGGTAAATCATTTCATTTTAATTTTGTAGGTCTTGAGTTTGTTTCCTTTAATACTGATCAATATTTTTTTTGTCTATTTAGCTTCCTACTTTAGAGCTTGCTGATGGTTCATTCTTATTTGATAGTAATAGTGCTGCCTTTAGTGTTGCGAACGCTCAGCTTATTGGAACCACTGCTAAGGATAAGAATGAGGTTATTCAATGGATTACTTGGGCTGATAATGACCTTTACCATTCAGTTGCCACATGGATGTATCCAACTCTTGGTTTCGTCGAAGCAACTAAGCCGGTTAGTCAATTTTATTCTTCAAATGTCGAAATCATTTTCTTACCTAATTTTTTTTTCTATTTCTTAGTCGGTCGAAAGAGCCAAATCTGAGGTGAAATCAGCTTTATCAGCATTGAACAATTTCCTTCTTCGTCACACTTATTTCGTTGGAGAACGAATCACCTTAGCTGATATTACCGTTCTTTCAATTCTTCTTCCACTCTATGAAAACGTAAGACTTTTATAATCAAATCTCAAGACACTTTTTCCAACTCATTAATTATTCCCATTCTTTAGATTTTGGATGCTAGACTTCGAGGTGATTATGGTAATGTTCAACGATGGTTTGATACTTTAGTCAATCAACCTCAAGTTAAAAAGGTTCTCGGTGATGTTACCCTTTGTGCTGAAAGTCCAGTCTTCAAAGAAGGAGGTAAGAACTTTATTCGTTTAATGGATTAATCTTATTAATCATTTTTCATTGTTTTCAGCTGTTAAAAAGGTAGAGAAAAAGGAAGAAAAAAAGGTTGAAAAGAAGAAGGAAGAGAAACCTAAGCAAGAAAAGAAGGAAAAGAAAAAGGAACCTGAGCCTGAAGAAGATGATGGCGATGATCTCGGTATTCCTCAAGAAAAGGCCAAGGATCCATGGGCTGAATTACCTAAAGGGTATGATAACTTTACCCTTGAAATCAGTTTATGAGAATCAAATCTCATTTCTTAATCACTCTTATCGATGAGATAGTAATTGATCAATTGATAATCGTTATCTTTTCATTTTTTTCCAGTAATTTTGACATGGATGATTTCAAGCGATTTTACTCAAACAACCCAGAGGACAAGTCGATCCCTTATTTCTGGGAAAAGTTTGACAAAGAACATTACTCAATCTGGTACTGCGAATACAAATACGCAGATGAGCTTACTCTAGTTTTCATGAGCTGTAATCTAATCACTGGTAAGTTTTGATATTTATTTATTTAAGATGCTCGATCTTCTAGTAAAATTGTGCTAATTTCCTAATTCTCTCCTTTAGGTATGATGCAGCGATTAGATAAGATGCGAAAATGTGCCTTTGGAAGTATGCTTCTCTTCGGCGAAGACAATGCCAGTACCATCTCTGGAGTTTGGGTTTGGCGTGGTCATGATCTCGCCTTCAAGGTATTAACGAATATTTATATTTGGGACAAAATTTCAATTTTCTAATTAATTTATATATGGTATCATATTGTTTTCATTTTAATTTAGCTTTCACCTGATTGGCAAATTGATTACGAATCCTATGAATGGACAAAATTAGATCCCGATTCAGAGGATACCAAGAAAAAGGTTTCTGAATATTTCAAATGGGAAGGAGATTTTGATGGCAAAAAGTTCAATCAAGGAAAAATATTCAAATAAATTTCTACTTTCATCTATAATAATAATAATAATTAATAAACTCTTTTAACTTGGAATTTATCATCTTTATTTTCAATTTAAGTTTTCGTGGTCATTACAACATTTCAAGAGTTTGATTATCCTCAAGCTGAATCAGATTCATAATTTTCTTGTAATGTAATTGCCGATTGTCGAAAAGTTGATTGTCTTTCATCGTTAAATTGTCGAGTCCAACTGAATGTGTTATTGATTATGTCCAACTGAATTAAATGTGGATAAGATCGATTTATCAGCCGATTTTCGTTTCATGACTTTGGTGTAAATTATATTTACGATAAATCCAATTATAAGACCAGAGATTATGAACAAAAATACAATGAAAAGTGATCCTGACAAATTAAAAGAGCTTCTCAATACAATTGAACTTTTGATTGTTCCTGATTCTGTTTTCTTTTTAATTCGATTGTAGTTACGACAACCATCTTCGTGGATTAATTTTACTTCACCACTGTTCTTGGAAACATCGTCGAAATCGTATCTCGAAAGAAGACAAATGCTCGAGGTTCTCCCATTTGCAGAACAAAAGTTAAATGATAAACATGATTTCGAATTTTCTTCTTCACTCCAATCATAACAAAGAGCAGCACATTGATCCACAGTTACACTTAATTCGGTATGAAATGTGTCCGAAATTATCTGTTTACCCGTCATTCTAAATTTGTCGATTACTTTTGCTACAATTAAGAGAATTAGAATTGATTAAAAAAACTATTAAACGTTCACATTTGATTGTTAATACTTACGAACGTAAATGTCACAATTAGGAGAGAAATCAGTTGATGAGTCAGTATAATAACTTTCCAATGTACATGATCCAGAATCTGAACAATACTGAAAAGATTTACACTCACTAGAATCTGAACAACGTTCAGAACAATTCCTAGGATCGTTATCTGTGGGAATCGAAGTTGATTTGATAAACTTTCGAATTTAACTCAAGTAAAACTTTCGGCGAGTTTCGACCTCAATAAAACCGAAGTTAAAAAAGTCGAGAGACTGAATTTTTCTTGTTGACATGATCATATGTGTGTACTATGCGAATATAAAATTTAAGAAAAAAATTCTTTATTGTTCAATAGTTATGGCGATTTTTGCGAAGAGTTATTGTGAATTTTTGACCAGCACTCTATTGATGATTAGAACAAAATTCAAATGAAAATCACATATTATATTCAAAAATTCAATTGATTACTAAACAGTTAAGTTGACTTACCTCATCCGTTATTATCGCATTGATTATCCAATTTCCTGGCTCCAGTTCCATGGGATATTTATAAATATCATAATCTTAATTGTTTCATTAGCAATTATCAGATTAGAAATGGAAAAGTTTATTGTAGTCAACTGAGATTAAGATAATTACCGTTATCACTTACCTGATTTTACCTGGTCAACTGAAATACTGATCACAATTACTATTGTTATATAAACTAAATTAAATGACATTGTACCTAATTAATTAATAAGCAACTTTATTCGTTTCACTTTTCAAGTGCAAAAGATTAGCTACTGATACACGTTGTTATTTATATTGCTCATTCTATTATTAATATAATCGCCCCTAACAATCAAACATTGATAGCCAAAATTAAAGTTAATCAAGTTGACATTAACATTAATCGTTACTATTGATCGTTAGTCTAATTAAACTGATATGAATTTCAGTTTGGTTATCATTGTTTTTCATTGATAAGATTATTAAACTTTTTCATTTTGATTCACAATAAAAACACTCACCATGTTTAGTATTAAATTGAGATAATCCAATCAGAGATTAAAGTTGACAATTAACGAGCTTCAATCAAGGTTTATGCCCCAAATTGGTTTACATTTAAATATGATCAATTGTGATTAACTGGAAATGAAAGTTATCAATTAAATGTATTGATGGTTTTGATGAAAAGTGCAAAGTGCAAAGTACAACGTTTTTCAACTTCGATTCAAAGAGTCGAGTCCAATTCTTTTTAGATCGATAATTTTTACCCGAAATTTTTTCTACAGAATTTTCTTAGGCCTATCGGATTTTATGCCGATACATTTGCAAAATTCTGACTCTTCTGGTTTACCACAATTTATCCAGAGCTGTTGACAACTTTTAAACGGGCATCTTAAAAGATTTGGTAAGAGTAGCGTCACTAGTTAGTGAGTATTAATTATCCGACTTTACTTTTTGAATCGGAATTGAAAGACGCTGTACTTGGCGTTCCAATTAATCAGCATTTACATGGAAATTTGAGGTTTTTTAAAGGCTTGAAGATTATTTTTGATGGTTAATTAGTTGTCTAGATTAATTTAAACGCGAAAAAAATTCGAAAAATCGAAAATTTCAGCGAAATATCGATAAAAAATACCGTTAGCTTCGAATCGCGTCTCATTGTATGGAAACATTCGGTTGAATGAGTTCAAGAGATACACATGAATTGTTTGAGAGCTTCTCGAGTCTTTTCCGAGGACAAATCGAGCCCAGATGCTTATTGTGATTTTTTGATTAACTAATGTGTTGACACATATTCACCATTAAATTGCAAAATCAATCATTTTTCATCAGAAAATGTAATGTGACATCGAAAAACATTGAATTGTCTTCTTAGTTGTTTCAGTAGAATCAATCAATTCTATTTCTATTCGACTCGAAATCTTTGCGGCAATTCGTATTTAGATTGAATTTTTATGTTGAATTTCAAATCTCGATAAACAGTGAAAGAATCAAGTTGAAGAGCAATCGGCTTTTTTAGTAACTGTACTCATATTCAGATTGTAACCACCACTTAATGTGTGAGCTTAATTAATAGATTCAAAATTATATTGATAACTTATCTTGAGATTAATTTGGTTAACTAATAGATCAAATTAATATCATTACATTATATTGTATTATTTGTGATACAAAAGACGCGAAGTAATTGAAAGTAGTTCGATTTAGTTTAAAAGTATTTATTCAGCTAACAAATAATCTTATACATAGATTACTTATTCTTGAGGCTTGGATTAAGGTCTCGCTTTCATCAACCTTTTATAGCGGTTTCAAGAACTTTGATAAAATCTCTGATGAGATCTTGAGCGAATGCAGCGGGATCCTTGATATCGTTGATGAGTTGGAGTGGGTTGAGGGCTCGCTTGGTAATAGCGGCTTCAGTGGTGGCTTGTCCGTCTAAATCAAATGAACAAGTCGAATTAGTTTCTATCTTCGGCCTTCTTACAATCATAGCTCAACTTACGGTTGAATGAGTTCAAAAGATCCATGAGTTGCTTAAGGGCTTCTTGGGCCTTTTCTTTACCAGCATCAGCTAATTCTGCAAGTAGAGTGTAATTAACAAATAGATATTGAGATATTTTCATCCAAATAATGCCAAGCTAACTTACTCTTGAGGTCTTCAGCAAGATCTCGCTTTCGTCGACCTTTGAGAGCCATTTCAGCAAGAATTTTGATAAGATCTTGAGCGAATGCAACGGGGTCCTTGATATCGGCGATCAGTTGGAGTGGGTTGGGGGCTCGCTTAGTGATAGCGGCTTTAGTGGTGTCTTGTTGGGTTCCGTCTGAGTGAAAATAAAAAAGTACCTTTAGTTTCGAGTTGCGTTTCATTGTATAAAACTTACGGTTGAATGAGCTCAAAAGATCCATGAGTTGCTTAAGGGCTTCTTGGGTCTTTTCTTTACCAGCATCAGCCAATTCTGGGAATAAAGGATAATTAAAGATAACATAATAAGAAAGTGAGCTCGTCTTATTTAGTATTCCATGATAACTTACTCTTGAGGTCTTCAGCGAGATCTCGCTTTCGTCGACCTTGGAGAGCTGTTTCAGTAACTACTTTGATAAAATCTCTGATAATATCTTGAACGAATGCAGCGGGATCCTTGATATCGTTGATGAGTTGGAGTGGGTTTGGAGCTCGTTTGGCAATGGTGTGTTCAGTTGAGTTGTCTAGTTGAAGAGTTATGAATTCCCGTTACTCAAGGAAAACACCATGAGAATAATTAATTGATACTTACGGTTTCCTAATAAGTTCTTGAGAGCATCTTGAACCTTTTGGTTGAAGTCTTGTCCAAAGTCTGAACACAGAATCGAAAAGAAAATCGGTAAGCATATGATAAAAAAATTCTCGATGAAAATAAACTTTACTTACTTTTCAAGTTTTCCAAAGCATCTTGAGACTTGTTTTGTAAGTCATCGAAGAAGTTTCGTTTGACCAAGGTAGATGCAGAAGCAACTGTCGACACAGAGAACACAGAATAATTAGATGAGAAGCAATTAAATCAAAATATCGAACAATTAACTTACCACCTAAGAAGCAAATAGCAAGAACAATTGAGAAACGCATCTTTGTTTGTACGACGGTTCAGTTGATGGATAAATTCAAGTGTCTTTTTGTATCAAAAGTTTTCGCTTTTATATCTTCTTTTTCTCAGTTTTTTCTAAAGACAAATGTAGCCCAGATGCTGATTTCGATTGTTTAAAATTAATTAATTGACGTGATGACATTTATTTACCTGTTAAATTACAAAATCAATCATTTTAGTCTCAAGAATATTTAATATGACATCGAAACACAATGTAACTTATCATCACCTTTTCTAGATTTCACGATTTTGTACCCATTTCGTACTGGAAATATGTTCAGCTAGAATTTTGATCTGCTAAGTCACGTCAGCAGAATTTTCTGATCCACTCAAGACCAGCTTTTTTTTGCTATTCGAACGTTTTTTCGATTGATTTTATTCATTCAGCCGAATATTTTGATTCTGTCTAAAAGATTTCCAATCTTTTTTGGACTAAAGTTAGACTGAAGCATTAAACTTCCTTTGACCACCTTCCATAACTGAATCTAATTTTGATGTTAGAAGAAATTCAAAATACAAAAGAATGGAAATGATCTGGTTATAAAGTCATGACGATTTCATAGATTCAAAGAAAAACTGTAATGATTGAAATATCAGCCATGAGATTTGGTTCTTTTCGAAAGCGGAATAAAATTGAACCGAGAATATATTAGATTTGAAATAGTATTTCGGCTCTAATTTAAGACGGAACTGTTCAGTTTAGATTCTATTATCATGCTATTCATGTCCGAAATCGATAATTTTTTTTTGGAATCAGCATAAAGTGCTGCATCGGAAAAAATATGCAAATAACTTTTTGGTTGATGGACAGGTTTTGACATGGATGATTTCAAGCGATTTTACTCAAACAACCCAGAAGACAAGTCGATCTCTTATTTCTGGGAAAAGTTTGACAAAGAACATTACTCAATCTGGTACTGCGAATACAAATACGCAGATGAGCTTACTCTAGTTTTCTTTATTTTCAATAAAAGTTTTCGTGGTCATTACAACATTTCAAGAGTTTTCATCATTACCCTCAAGCTGAATTGATTCAGATTCATCATTTTCTTGAACTGTAATTGTGGATTGTCGAAAAGTTGATTGTCTTTCGTCGTTTAATTGTCGAGTCCAACTGAATGTGTTTCGATTAAATGTGGATGAGATCGATTTATCAGCCGATTTTTGTTTCATGACTTTGGTGTAAATTGTATTTACGATAAATCCAATTATAAGACCAGAGATTATGAACAAAAATACAATGAAAAGTGATCCTGACAAATTAAAAGAGCTTCTCAATACAATTGAACTTTTGATTGTTCCTGATTCTGTTTTCTTTTTAATTCGATTGTAGTTACGACAACCATCTTCGTGGATTAATTTTACTTCACCACTGTTCTTGGAAACATCGTCGAAATCGTATCTCGAAAGAAGACAAATGCTCGAGGTTCTCCCATTTGCAGAACAAAAGTTAAATGATAAACATGATTTCGAATTTTCTTCTTCACTCCAATCATAACAAAGAGCAGCACATTGATCCACAGTTACACTCAATTCGGTATGAAATGTGTCCGAAATTATCTGTTTACCCGTCATTCTAAATTTGTCGATTACTTTTGCTACAATTAAGAGAATTAGAATAATATTAGAATTGATTAAAAAAAACTATTAAACGTTCACTTTTCATTGTTAATACTTACGAACGTAAATGTCACAATTAGGAGAGAAATCAGTTGATGAGTCAGTATAATAACTTTCCAATGTACATGATCCAGAATCAGAACAATACTGAAACGATTTACATTCACTAGAGTCTGAACAACGTTCAGCACAATTCTTAGGATCGTTATCTGTGGGAATCGAAGTTGATTTGATGAACTTTCGAGTTTCAATCTTGTCGAATCTCTTTAACAAATTAATCTCATTTGTTGAACAATGAGTATCATTGGTTGTGTTTTCCGAACTGATTGGTGAACTTGCGATTAAACATTCAGATCCATCGAGATATTTACAATAAGAAAATGATCTGCAATCAACATCAGATGCATGAGCACAAAGTTGATAACATGAACCGAAATCAGGAACATTTTCAATTCTATTAACTGAGTCGGAATTAACTACTAATTTAGATGATAAGACAACATTTCGGTAAAAAGGTTCGAGTTCCGTCTCCTTGATTGAAACGTCGTTCACTTGGTAAAGTTTATATTCCGAAGTTATCGATCCATCAGATAATTTAAAAGATATTCCATTTTGTAATAGTTTCTCTTGAAGATCAACTAATGGCAGTTCTCGACTATATCGATAAATATTTCGAAGAGGAATAAGCGTAACTTTACAAAGAGCTCCAGAGAATTTATCTTCTATTATATCGGTAAATTTGTCGAAATGACCACAAATATTTTCTTCTCCTTCGCAATAAGCTATTGCTCTGTGCATTAATTGAGAATTCAGGCCAGTTTGTTATAAATTTGCTAAGAAGTTACTAAAAGTTAATGAACTTACTCGAAACGATCAACAATATTGGCACTTGAGATTAAACATTCTCGATGATTTTTAACACCATAATAACTCGTCCGTGGCTTTGATTTTTTTGCAATCCGAATTTCTTTATGTTCAAAAGAATCTGTAATCAATTAAAATTTGATCAACGAATCAATAAAATATCAGATCAATGAATTTCCTTAAACCGGCTTACCCATAATATCAGGAGATTCTAAGACTGTGATTTGAGCGATTGTTTCATACGATTTAAAGATTAGCTCAATATTTGAGATTCGAGAGATTGAAATTGTTTCCATGCCGAAAATGGACTCTTTCAGTTTAATTGTGAATTGTTTATGATGATTTCGAGTAAAATGTCCGCAGTTTTGATCTAATGAATAAAATTATCAAGATTTAGGACTAATCAAGTACGAAAATTTTTCAGCTAGAAGATAATCTAACCTTTGCAGGAGAACCGTAGTTCTAATGTTTTCCGTGATTCTGGATCAGGGTAACAATCAGCTATATGAAATTTGTCTTTAGAATCATCAAATTCAGTGGAGATTATTTGATAATCAATTTTCTTGCGAATCGATCTATTACCATCCTGTCAATGATTCCGATTTACGATAATTATATTCGTACTTTTAACATTTTTATTCTAATGATTGAACCTTACCGTTTTCGCGTATCCATCAAAAGTGGTTCCAACTATCACCATATCTTTCTCAGTGTTTGTCACTGCCTAAGAGTAAACGCACATTACCAAGGTGGAAGAAATTAATGATATCGATTTAGAAAATTAATTGTTAGGAAAATTCATGACACAGATGATTTGTTGTTTTGATTATTAAGAGGAAAATTTGTACATGTAAAGTAATCATTGAATTTTCCGATTCTTAAAAAGGTATAATTAACACTCTCCGCTTTGGCAGGATACAAATAGTTTGCGTATCAACTTACCTGAGGTAGCACATATTGTGTTGCGATGACAAGATCATAATTAATGTCATCAATTTTACCCTTTTTAATGTTTTCTTGCCAACCTTCAGCCTTCAATTGTGTGTTAAACAAGTTCATCTATTGATTGGTAATGTGGTTGTGTTATTTATTGAGCCAGGAATGGAAACTTTTCATCTCTACTCACATAACTAACTGGGCCTATGTAAAAGTATTGACCATTTAAATTAAATTGTTGATTCAATGAGAAACTTGGATTAGTTTTGTCCATTAATAATCCAGGAGCTGATGAGTCCATTGGGTACATTTGGCATTCTCTTTGTCCATCCAATTCGTACACCAATCCTAAGGTGTAGTCGTAAACCTTTTCGGGCCTTTTCTCGATTTGATTTGGATTAAGTTTAATTGTTGTTTTAATATTGACCAGTTGAAATTTTTCATCAGCAAAAACCTAATAAAATTCAAATATTATGATCGTTTAATTAATTATCAACATTAATCTTGATAATATTCACCTCTTTTTGTATCAGCTGATTTTTATCACTTGAAATCGTTTCCAATGCTATGTAGTGTTTGAATTGTGTTCCAACCTTAGGAATCGGAGATTCGTGATAATCTAACCCTTTGGTTAGAAAGGCATCACAATTTTTTTCTGTTAACTGTCAATCAAATTGATAATGATGTTTGTCAGTAAATGGCACGTTAATTAATTTGTTAGTTAATTACCGTTACAAAAGAATCCAGTTCTTGATCTACCTTCTTGATTGAATAAATGTCTATTCTCACATTTGAATTTCCTTTGAAAAAAACTCGAGATGGAAATGAAAACTCTGAACCATCTCTGCTAACTAATCAATAACAATCAATATTAATCGCATATCTCACTGGGGTAATTAACTTTTTACCTTTATAATAATGTGTGATTCCAATTTTAGGTGTTAAATAAGATTCATAGACACGATGAGCAACACCATTGACTTCAACCTCAGAAGTTTGATTCTAGAGAGAAATCAACATCAATATTACGACTGATTGTCAATTGTCAACAATTAATAAATACCCATTGAATCGGTTGATTTTTAAGTCTAAATAGGATTGAAGGACCAGCCATTAAGAAGTAACTAACGAATGGAGAGGGAGTATCGGACAATCGATAATTCCAATCATTGGTGAAGATAAATTTCCAGCATTTATTGGCATTATCTTTAAGAAATCAAAATGTGAATTTCTAATTAAGACTCAAACAATTTATCTCACCATCTTTAATAACGTAACGTGTAGTTGGATATTCACTTGAATAGTGAATCTTTTGACCATTTCCTTTAGATTCCGTCAAATTTTACCTCGAACTATGGAACCAGATGAAATATATTCTCTTATTGTAAATCTTTGATTGATATTCTATTAATGATTAGAACAAAATTCAAATGAAAATCATATATTATATTCAAAATTCAATTGATTACTAAACAGTTAAGTTGACTTACCTCATCCGTTATTATCGCATTGATTATCCAATTTCCTGGCTCCAGTTCCATGGGATATTTATAAATATCATAATCTTAATTGTTTCATTAGCAATTATCAGATTAGAAATGGAAAAGTTTATTGTAGTCAACTGAGATTAAGATAATTACCGTTATCACTTACCTGATTTTACCTGGTCAACTGAAATACTGATTCCAATTATTATTGATACATAAACTAAATTAAATGACATTGTAACTAATTAATTAATAAGCAACTTTATTTGTTTCACTTTTACAATTTAAATGATTAACTTTTGCTGTACATTGTGATTTATATTAATCATTTGTGTTATTATCACCAATCACTAACAATCAAACACTGATAGCCAAAATTAACCAAGTTGACATTAAAATCAATCGTTATTATTGATTGTTAGTCTAATTAAATTAATTTCTAAATTCCTGTCTGGTTATCATTGTTTTTATTTGATAAGATTATTTAACTTTTTCATTTTGATTCGCATAAAAAACACTCACCATGTTTAGTATTAAATTAACATAATTCAATCAGTGATTAAAGTTGACAATTAACGGGTGCAAATTAAGCTTTATGCCATAGATTGATTTATATTCAAGGAAAATCTTCTTAATTGTAAAGATATGTTATCAATTAAATTTATTAATGAATTTGACAAAAATTAATTACAGTAGTGTTCGCATTTAGAGCAAGAAAAGTGATACCTACATAGCTAAAAGAGTTAATCTCTTAAGCTAGTCCAATACAAATCTCATTAATCCATTAGATGAAGACTGAAAAATTAGTTGCTCAATTTTTATCGCTACTGCTATATTTATAATCTTTATATATCTTTAATTTTATAATCTAATTAAAGTTATATATGAATTTAAAATTGAATCTTGTGTTATTATTGTTCAGCCTATGTTATTTTCTACTTTTCTTCGTGTCATATCTAATGAGTTAAACTACAGGGCATTTCATCCAGTACCCATCAAGTTTTTCTTAAATGAATTTTTCGTTTTTGAGTATTTAGCCATAGACTTGAGGTTAGGTTAAGTTAGGTTAGTTAATGGAGAAAACTCTCTAGTCATCCGTTCTACCACTGAATTTTGGAACGCGGCATCGTTATAGGCACACCGACACAATCGGTAGCCTAATAACAAGGCTCAGTAATTCCTCTTTACATCGTCGATGGTCCAATCGTAGACATTATTTAAGTTATCTAGCGAAAGTTTGAGCAATACTCCATTGTCATATTTTAATTTCAAGGTCACTACGGTCACTCTGTAAAGATACGATTTCAAGGTCGTGTGTAGGTCAGAATCAAATTTAAGCTGGTTCAAGAGGTTGTTAACGAGATTACAACTTTGAAACATGTTTAGCTACAGAGATATATAGTTTTTTATTCAACTTTAACGATTAATTAACTTATTTTCTCTCTCTTCGTTTTTCAGATTCTAAATACATACATTCACTCAATTTTCTAATCTTCTTCTACAAACTTGAATAAGATAAGCTCAAATTTTGGGTAAAGATTGAGCTCGAGATAAAAGGATTCTATGAGATGATGAGGTATCAAAAAATAGAGCAGAAAATACTACAGTTACGAAAAATAGTACGAAAAAAATCTGAGTAGCCGTTCATGAGAAATTCTGACTCAAAGATTTTTATGTACGCATGCGCAAATTAGCTTTTTTATAGCGCGCATTACAAAAAGAAAGAGAAAGACCGACAGAGAGAGAAAGAGATGAGAGAGAAAGAGAAAAGAGAAAGAGGAAGAGTCGAGAAAGAGACGAGAAAAAGACGAGAAAGTAAAAAGAGGAGAAAAAGAGAAAAGAGAAAGAAAGAGGAAGAGATGAGAGAGAAAGAGACGAGAAAGAAAAAGAGACGAGCAAGAAAGAGAAAAAGAAAGAGAAAGAAAAAGAAAAAGGAAGAGATGAGAGAATGGAACGAGAGAGAGAGAGAAAGAAAGAGAAAAAGAGAGTAGTGAGAAAGAAAAAGAAATTTATTTTTTTTATTATTTTTTTTGAATTTTTCGATTAAAAAACGATTCCCATTTCAACAAACCACGGGTCTGGCAAACAACCTTAAAAAACTTTCGTAAAAGTTTTCCCGCTTCCCGCCCTCCGTGGAAGGTCCCTTTCTCTTGGCCATTTTACTTGCTGAGCTTAAATTGCTTGGTCCTGATCCACTTTCCCCATAACTTTTAGAGGCTTCAACGTTAGCACCGTTAGCCTCTACAGTGAGTGCTTGTAAACTTTATCAAACGGAGAGTAGATATTTGTATTTACAAAACAAAAAGAAAACACCAAAGACGGAACAAGGGAACGAGAAAAATTGAAAGATAACGGTTAATATTTCACTGGATTTAATACATTGTACTTGATTCATATTAGGTAAACACTAAAGTTTTTTCCGATTTTTTTCATTTTTTATTTAAGATTAATTAACAAGAAAATTAGAATTGAGTTAAAAATCAAAATAACTCTATTTTAAAGCTCAGGAATCAGGCTTCCGAATGATACTATTTGCGTTAATTTACAGCAATTAAAAAAATTACAATTAAAATTTTTGTAAAAGGTTATTTTTCTGGTTTTCGATTACTTACTTTTCAGGCCACTTTTCACCGTTTTAAAATGACCTCAAAATTTTTTTAATAAACTTAAATTGTTGTCTAATTATATGACTAATTTGACTGAAAATTTGGTGAATTTTGGTAATTAAATAAAAGAGAAATTACCATTTTAACAAAAAATGATTTAACACTAAAAGTTCCATAGAGCACCAATCTCCAGGTTAATAATCATATATGTAGAAGCAAAAACGGAAAAAACTTTAGTGTTTACCTAATATATACACTGAATATCCGATGAATTTGTGAAAAAGGTTACCACTGAGCGAAGCTCAAGATTATTCCTCCCAGTCTTTCTTTACTTTCTTTTTTCTTTGCTTCTCACTCTCTCTCTCTCTCTCTTTTGATAACAACTCACTTTTCCATCTTTATCACTCAATTTTCTAATTTGTATTGATTATAATATCACACAATTAATGACATCGTGAGCATTGATCCAGGAAGGAGCTCTATTCAGTTACCTAATCCATCTAGGCGTTGGTCCATAGGCGAGTAATGTATGACAATCTGAATCTATTCTCGATTATGTTAAGAAAATAAGAAATTTAAGAAGTTTGAAGAAGTTTAAGAAATTATGTAAAACGCTGAAAGATTTATTAATCATTATGACGATGTTCAGATAAACGAAATGTTGAACCTAAATAATATTGTCTTGCAGCATTTATACAGGGAGTTTCACCAAGTTACCAACAGGTTTTTCTTGATTTGTTTTGGTTCTATGATTCTTTTTTTATCTGTATCGATTTTAAACCAGAAACGACGTTGAAACCGTATCTTCACAGAATGACCGGAATGATCTTGATATTAAAATATGATAATTAACTAAAAAACACTATTACTTTCAAATCTCGTTTGATTTTAAGGAAACATACAACTGATCTCAAAAGAGCCATGAGTTGTTTGCGAGCTTATTGAGTCATTTCCGAAGACAAATCGAGCCCAGATGCTTATTTCGATTGTTGCAAATTGATTGAATAATGTGTTGACATCTATTCTCAAAATCAAAATCAATCAACTAATCACCAGAAAATGTCACATCGAAAACAATGACTCGTTCTCTCAGAGAACTTCTCTGGGTTGTTTTAGTAGAATCGCTTGAAATTATCCATGTAAAATTATTCAGATTATTTTGACTCGAAATCTTGAATTGATATAAATGATTAATTAATGGATCGGTTAAAAATTAATTATGATATAAAAGACGCGAAGTAATTGAGAGCAGTTTGTTTTAATTTAAATGTTCAGTTTATTCAGTCAATCGGTTTGATTCCGGTTGATTTGATTGAGTTGGTGAAAATGAATTTTCATTGGGATATTTTCTAACTAAATCAATTGTTTGGGTTACTGATGGGATCGGATTAACTGTTTGGAGGCTATAACTGGGTTACTGATTAAGTTTAGTTGTACAGAATTTATTTATGATGATTCAGTGGTGTCTTCGGCTTGAGGTTGGAATGGCTTTCGGAATTGGTTGAAGAAATCGGCGAAAGCGTTTTTGAATCCAGATAAAGCTTGTTGAGCTTGTTCTTGGAGGTTCTTGTTGAATTCTGTGGGGAAGGAGAAACGGAAGTTGATTAATGGAAAATTCTCATGAAGATGAATCATTGCCACGTATTCTCATCATTTACTTACTTTGGAAATCTTCAAGGCTTCGCTTTGAGACTGAAACTTCAGTTGAATCTTCAACTTGTTCACTTGGTTTCTTTCCGAACAATGAAGCTAAAGCATCTTTAAGGTGTTGGAAAGCGGCTTGGGTCTTTTCTTGAGCGATTTGACCGAATTCTGGTTCAAGAGGAAATAATTTATTAATGTTTTACCAGAAAAGAAATTAATTTATTACTTACGCTTAAGACTTTCTGAAACATCTCGTTTGGTGACAGTTTCGGATGATTGATCGTCTATTTTAGAATAGATTGTTTTTCAATTAGTCTTCTCTTCATTTTAAATTATCTAAATGGACTTACGGTTGAATCCTCCCTTGAATTGTTCGAAAAGGTCTTGGAGTTGCTTAAGAGCGGCTTGGATTTTTTCTTGACCAGCGGATGCGAGTTCTAATTGAATAAAAGATTAGTATTATTTTATCATTTCTATTGAAAATATAAAAAGAAAAACTCACTTTGTAAATCTTCAGAAATGTCTCGTTTGGAAACGGTCTTTTCAGTTGAAGTTTCACCACCGTCTGGGGAAGAGATAAAAGGTTGAATAGGGATCGATTAATTTATCGATTCTATCTGAGCAGTTGAGAGAATTTTCTTACTCTTGAAGGAGTTGAAAAGGTCTTGGAGTTGTTTAAGAGCTTCTTGGGCCTTTTGCTTTCCAGCATCAGCGAACTCTAAATGATGAATAAATTGAGCGAAATAAGTTTTACTTTCATAGCTTTCAAGCTAATAGTTTCTTCTTACTCTTGAGGTCTTCAGCAAGATCTCGCTTTCGTCGACCTTGACCAGTAGCCATATCGGCAAGAACTTTGAGAAGATCTTGAGCGAATTTAGCTGGATCTCCGAGATCGTTGATGAGTTGGAGTGGGTTGGTGGCTCGCTTGGTGATAGCGGCTTCAGTAGTGGCTTGTTGGGTTCCGTCTGAACGAAAATACAAATACCATTAGTTCTGAATCACGTTTTATTGTATGAAAACTTACGGTTGAAGGAGTTCAAGAGATCCATGAGTTGCTTAAGGGCTTCTTGGGCCTTTTCTTTACCAGCATCAGCCAATTCTGCAAGTTGAGTGTAATTGACATACAGAAAATGAGATATTTCTATCCAAACAAAGAGTAGCTAACTTACTCTTGAGGTCTTCAGCAATATCTCGCTTTCGTCGACCTTGACCAGTAGCCATATCGGCAAGAACTTTGATAAGATCTTGAGCGAATTTAGCTGGATCTCCGAGATCGTTGATGAGTTGGAGTGGGTTGGTGGCTCGCTTGGTGATAGCGGCTTCAGTGGTGGCTTGTCCGTCTAAATCAAATGAACAAGCCGAATTAGTTTCTATCTTCGGCCTTCTTACAATCATAGCTCAACTTACGGTTGAATGAGTTCAAAAGATCCATGAGTTGCTTAAGAGCTTCTTGGGCCTTTTCTTTACCAGCATCAGCTAATTCTGGAAAATCAATGAATAAACAAGTCATATTACCCTTTTCACAGCTTTCGAACTAATCGTTTCTTCTTACTCTTGAGGTCTTCGGCGAGATCTCGCTTTCGTCGACCTTGACCGGTAGCCATATCAGCAAGAACCTTCAAGAGGGTTTGAGCGAATTTAGCTGGATCTCCGAGATCATTGATGAGTTGAAGAGGGTTGGTGGCTCGTTTGGCAACGGTGTGTTCAGTTGAGTTGTCTAGTTGAAGAGTTATGAATTCCCGTTACTCAAGGAAAACACCACGAGAATAATTTATTGATACTTACGGTTTCCTAACAAGTTCTTGAGAGCATCTTGAACCTTTTGGTTGAAGTCTTGTCCAAAGTCTGAACACAGAATCGAAAAGAAAATCGGTAAGCATATGATAAAAAAATTCTCGATGAAAATAAACTTTACTTACTTTTCAAGTTTTCCAAAGCATCTTGAGACTTGTTTTGTAAGTCATCGAAGAAGTTTCGTTTGACCAAGGTAGATGCAGAAGCAACTGTCGACACAGAGAACACAGAATAATTAGATGAGAAGCAATTAAATCAAAATATCGAACAATTAACTTACCACCTAAGAAGCAAATAGCAAGAACAATTGAGAAACGCATCTTTGTCCGTTTGTTGATGGATAAATCCAAGTGTCTTCTTGTATCAAAAGTTTTCGCTTTTATATCTTCTTTTTCTTGAACCATCTCAATCTTTTTCGAAGACAAATGTAGCCCAGATGCTGATTTCGATTGTTTCAAGTTGATTGATTGACGTGTTGACATAAATTTACCATTTAATTGCAAAATCAATCATTTTAATCACAAGAAAATGTAATGTGACATAGAAACACAATGTAACTAATCAACACCTTTTCCAGATTTCACGATTGATCTTGTACCCATTTTGCACCAGATATTCGTTCGGATAGAAATTCGGTCTGACAAGTCACGTCAGCAGAATTTTTCATCCACTGGAGACCAGTTTTTTATTCGTTCTGTCGATTAACTCTATCCATTTGGCGAAATTCCTTTTTTTGTCGCTCAGATTTCGAGTCTTTGCTGACTGAGAAAACGCCAACATATGCAAATAGAAATAGGAAAATAAAGGCATGGGGATAATGCGAATCATTGAATCACAAAGACTCAACCGAAACAACAACAGAAACCAGAACATACCTGAGACATTGTTACAAATCCAAGAAGAGTTTAAAGGTAAACCAATTAGAGAAGGAGAACTAAATTAATCAATTAAACAGTAATGCAAGTTAACTGATCAACTTAATTGTTGCCAACGCCGATCAAACGGAAATGGCTGGAAATGTAAGTATCGTGGTCATTGCTACATTTATTTGACAATAAATTGATGAAGATTTCATGGATTTAAAGAAAAACTGTAATAACCAAAATATCAGTGATGAGATTTGGTTCTTTTCGAAAAAGAATAAAATTGAATCGAGAATATATTAGATTCGAAATCGTATTCTGCCTGTAGATTAGCGACTGAACTGTTCAGTTTAGATTAAGATGATGTTAGTCGAGTTAGATGTCGATAAGTAAATGCTGTTCATCAAGATCTAAAGTATTATAATAGATTAATTTTTATTCCAAGATAATTTCTCTGCATAGCTTTTCTTTGAAGGTCAATTAGAGTCAAGTAAATTAATCGGAATTAAGATAAAAAATGATCCTTTAAATTGTTTTCAAGTTTGAATATTTGGTGAGTCTCAAGCTATTTTTCTGTCAGCTCGCTATTTCCAATTTGAGCTGATTTTTTCGGCTTAAAGATTGGCGGCTTTTTTCTCGATTAATTTAATTGATCGAACAACCAATTCAACTATTTTAAATGGTGCCACTTTAATTAGTGAGACTCAAGATTTGTCTTTCAGCTTGATATTCTCACTTGCAGCTGATTTTTTCCGGCTTATCATTACAGCTACACATGGAAATTAACGGAATTGTTCTGACAATCGTGTTTGTTGAAATTAGATTAGAATAGGTTTTCACTATTAAGAGTCACTATGGACAAAGGGAGGAAGTTAGTTATTAGTTTACTCAAAAAGCTGTGAATAGTAAGCCGAAAAACTCAGCTGCAAGTGAGAATGTTGAGCTGAAAGACAAATCTTGAGTCTTTTCCTTTGATACTTTGATTGATACTTTTGGAATAGTAAAAAATCAAATTTGTGTACATTTAATTGTAAATACAATCGAACAGTTTGCTCGATCATTTGAGTTCGCTTTCATAATTAGCCGCTATAATAAGCCGAAAAAGTCGACTAAAAGTGGAAATAGCGAGCCGATGGACATACCTGGTGACTCATTAAAAATTTATTATCAAACTTATGAAAACTTTTTGATTAGTTCAATATTCAATATGTATTAACTAATTAAAAAAAGTTTAATTGTCGCGCTAATTGTTGCTAATCATTGTTGATAGTCTACTTAATTATTTAGTCAAAATAATTGAATTAAAATCTCTTAGAATCATTGAGATAATTAAAATCACAGATTCGATAATCAAAAAGCGGGCATTAATTACTACTCAGCCTAATACAATTAATCGAGCTGATGTTGATTTAATTGCTTCGCACTTTTTGTATTATATTGAAACAATCAAAGTTTACTTTTACTCTAATTACTGTAACTTCAATTAGAAACCAAGATACATGATGTATAATCAATTGACTGTTGATCATAAACTTTTTGCAACGACTGAATAATATACAAGGTGAGTGAACGAAATTTTTTGAATTTAGATCCAAATAGATGTTAAATTGCAATTAAGAGAGGGCAGTAGTTTAATTGAAGGAAAAAGAGGTGAATTCAAATGATTAGTAAATCTCATCAGCTCTTCGTTAAATGATGATTGTAATCAACTAATTGAAGAAAATTCTCAAACAGAATATAAACTAAATTAGAAATTATTACAAAATAATTTTTCTAATTTCTACCTGTTTCATATTTAAATGTCGATAGAGAATCGATTCAATTCTCGCTGAGAGTCAAATGCTTGAATTAAAATTATCTCTTACAACGGAAACGGAAAATATTGGATCGTTAATGTATTAATAATAAATCATATCCGGTTCGCAAGTGAGGTTTTCCTGTTTCCTAATTACATGTGGTTAATTTGTCTTCCATTAAAACCAAAAATTTATTGATTGTCAACCTGATACTCGTTATTAAATGGATTAGATAAATAAAAGTGATAACTTGGAGCTTCGAGTTGATCAATTGGACAAAAATCGGTGGATTTCATTTGGATGTTATGGTGATTCGATTCTCAAACTTTTCGAGAGTAAGATCAATGTTACAATGAGGACATCGAGCGAGACTTAAATTGATTCGTTTTTTGGTAACAGAATCAATTCTAAATTGATCTCGGAACTCAATCAATTTACCACAATTGTCATTTGGACAAAGTATTTTAAATGCTTCATAGGCATCGAATTTCATTTCTTCATCAAGTGGAACTTCATTTTCCAATTCCTCTCGAGAACTACGATGCAATCCGTTTGATTCGACGCCCATAATTTCCGCCATGATGTGACTATCAGTTCCTTCGATGGGTTCACAAAGACGAGAAATAACCGGAAGTATTTGTTGGCTTATGTAATAATTGGAATCAATTTTTAACGAAGGATTTTCTTTGAGTTCATCAGGATGAAAAGCTCTTTGCGTGGAGGGTAAGGCCATAAACTCTTTGTTTCGTCTTTCGTAAGATCGATTTTCAAGAAAAATTATCCAAACCGATTTCTACTTTTCTCTTGATAATAATAATTAATTAGTTTAATTTTTTTTCGATGAAAGAAAACTAACAAGTTGTTGATTTGTTGGTTTATTGTTTTGAAAGTTTTTCTCATTTGGAGCTGAAGAAAATTACAAATGTCCATTGATTGACAATCAACGTGTTTCTCCTTTAATTGTAAATAGAAGGTTATTGTTAAGTGATTGATAAGTTGAGGCTTTTTGTTAATGACACTTTTCGATTGCATTTTATTCCTTTGGTAATTAGTTAACTGATTTGCATATGAGATTTGATGAGTTTTACTTTTGCTATTAATTATGTTCTCAACGTGAAGATGATTAGTTTTACTTTTGTACAATGAGAATGATTAAATTGAAAGGTGGAAATTAATAAATGAAATACAAATTTGGATTAAAAATACACACAAATGAACTGATTGATTTTTAAGCGAATACAAGATTAATTATCATGTAAAGTGATTAGGATTTTCATTAATAAACAACATAATATAAGCTTTAGGCTTGGTCATCACTCGAGTATCGGTGAAAATTGACCAGCGGTCAATTTTTATTCTGCTTTTTAATGCAACTGAACAATTGGGAATGGAAAATGTTGGAAGATTAACATCGGTATAAGACATTGTGAGACGGAGTGAGCGGACTAATTGGTAGAGCGATTGGTACAAAGAGGTACATGAAGCAGTTTTCGTCTCCAATTCAGCTGAAAATTAAGGAAAAAAACGTTTGATTAGTAAATTGTAACAATAGAAACATTGAGAGTAATTGTAGTATTTACCTTTTTCGGATGCACTTGACAATGAATTTAAAGCTCCTTCTCGATCAAGAAGAGTTTCATAAAATAAAAGTTGATAGTGAAAGTTTTTATCAGTCACCTGGAATTAAGAGAAATCAAATTAAAATTAGAATTTGATAGTTAAGATGAGAAAGATTATTAAAGGGAATTTAATTACTAACCTCCTGGTCCATGTCTTCACTACATTTTGGACATTCGAGAATCTTTTTCAATCCTCTCTGGTATCCCCAACAACAGCGAGTTCTGAATGAACAATTAATACACTTTATCCAATTCTTTGTGAATTCATCACACTTATTACGTAAGTTGAGGATGAAATTATTGATGATTCGATTCTCAAACTTTTCGAGAGTAAGATCAATGTTACAATGAGGAAATCGAGCGAGACTTAGATTAATCCTATTTTCTATTAATAGAATCAATTCTGAATCGATCACGTTCCAAGATCATAATCTTTTCGTTACTTCAGCCAATACAAATTACGTAAGGCACAAAACCACCACCCGCTTTGACTTTTCTATCCACCTCCTCACTAGAATCTCATCGGAGGGCAACATTCACATGGAGAAAACCTTTTCCATCTTGAGGGTAAAAAACTCGGAAACTGTCAAAATGTTTCAACTGCTCAGGAGTGAATCTATTTTATTTCATACGATGAGAGATGATTTGTTTCAATCTCTCGTGAATATCATCAACAACTTGTTGATACAATTTACCTGGAAGAATATCTCTTCTAATATTCGCTCACCACTAATGACCAATCATAAGCAAATTGAGAGTAATTAGAATCATAAACGAAAAAAATTTAACTCTTGTCGTGGGAAATTTCCAAAAAAAAAGTAAAATCTTAGAGATCGGAATGAACTATACCGAGAACCCAAAAACAATTACTTGCTAAGTGGCTCTCACAAAGATCATTCTTTGTTATCATCTCTTCATGATTTCTTCATCCTCTTATACATCATCATCATCATCATCATTTTCCTCTTCCCCATCATCATCCGCGACTGAAGACTTGTAGCTAAGCTACGGCAACTGTACATACATGTATAGAGAAACTCCTCCCGAATTTGTCTTCTCTTTCTTTTTCTCTTTCTGATTGGTTGATAAGCTTCTTATTACCACTCCTACTTTTTTGAGTGTAGCTAAAATTGCAAAGTGAAAATGACAACAGTCAACAATCAACATGGATTCATCAACAATCGTACATAATCATCAACAACATCACCATCACCATTCAATGGAGTCGTTGAATTCAGTTCAAGTTAGTGAAAATCAGTTGCCCCCAACACCAACCGCCTGTGTCAAATCATTCAGAAGGAACTATTCACATGCAAAACCACCATACTCGTATATTAGTTTAATCACCATGGCGATTCAACGATCACCAACAAAAATGTTAACTCTCAGTGAGATTTATCAATTCATCATGGAATTGTTTCCATACTATCGTCAAAATCAACAACGATGGCAGAACTCGATTCGTCATTCGTTATCATTCAATGATTGTTTCATCAAAGTGGCCAGAACACCTGATAAACCAGGTAAAGGGTCATTCTGGACACTTCACCCTGAATCTGGGAACATGTTTGAAAATGGTTGTTATTTAAGGCGACAAAAAAGGTTTAAATCTGAAAAAAGTGAATTCAAAAGTTTGGACTCAATCAAAACAAAGAAAACTTTATCATCATCATCTCCACCATCAGCATCATCATCAAATTCAGCGTTACAATTTGCTGAACCGGTAAATTATCTGCACAGTGAACATCATCACCATTCACAACAACAACAACAACAACAACAGCAACAACAACAACAACAGCAACAGCAGCAACAACAACAACAACCACCTCCACCACCACCACCACAATGTTTACCTCAACAACCCCAATCACAACAACCTCCACCATTAGCATTACCACCACCACCACCACAACCCCAACAACAACAACTTCATCATCATCAAACACCCGATTTTCTTCAACCACCCCAACAACATGAACAAAACCACTATTATCACCAACAGCATCAACAATCAACACATCATTATCATCATCCACAAAATTCAGGAAATTATTATCATCATCCATTTTCTATAAACAACATCATTGCCTCTTGTGGACATGAGTTACCAATTTTAAACAACAATCAATATTTATCATCAACATATTATTAAGAAGAGAGAGAGAGAGAGAGAAAGAAAGAAAGAAAGAAAGAGAAATGAAAATTATTGTCTTTGAATACTAACAATCAGACCCAAAGTAACTGTAATTAATTACTTGTAATGGTTTAACTATTAAAACAGTGATATCAAAAAAAAGTTCAAGAGGAAAAATTTTGTTCATTTTGTAATTAGATTCATTTCTTTGTTTTGTTAACAGGTAAGTGTTGTCTCAATTAATCCGAGTCTCAGTGATAATCAGATAATTATCGAAATGAACACCATCATCAACCACAACAACTTTAATCTAAATGACAATGACATGATCATCATCATCATCATCACCACAACAAGATAATCAAGATATTAATTGATGAGGAAAGAGTGAGAGTATCTTGAACTTTTTCCGGATCTCTTGTTTTTATTAAACGCTAATTAAATTGTCTTTACATAGTTGATTGTTTCATCTCTCGTTTTAATTATTCCAATTTCGGAAGATATTTAAATAGTTATTTTGATAACTTTTGTCTCTTTTTTTTTGTTTGTTTTCATATTAAATTAGCCGATGGACTTTTATTTGCAAGCTAATTGATTAATCGTTAGTGAATCCTGAGTTATCTTGATATCGCTTGGCAACTTGAGGTCGACCATATTCAGCCATAGGTCGTTCAGCGTTTTTCTTCATAGCTGATTTTTTGGTTCTGTATACGAAAAGAAGGCGAAAAATTGCCAAAAAGAAAAAGAGTTTGTTCAATTGATTGGTTAGTTTTCATTTCGATAAATCAATTGACTTCAATTCTATTATATTATTATATATAAAATGTATATTGAAAATATGGAATAGGATTGGAAATCTGAATCTCAATTTCTACGAATTCTAATCAATAAAATCGGAACAACAACAACTCACCAGAAATGAGAAGACTCGAGAGGTCCTCTTAACTGTTCGACCTTCGTTAAGGGAATACCGTGTATATGCTTAACCGGTGGAAGTTTGCTCGATTTTTCTGCCCTAAAGGTTGATACATGAGGACCGATCGAATCAAATCTATAATTTACTGATCATCAAAAGGGAACAATTAAATCAGCTAATTGAAATTTTTCAATATTGTCTATTGGTAAAGTCTCATTTGGAAACGTAGAAAGAGAGAGAGAGAGACAGAGAAAGAGGAAGAATTAGTTTATTTGTTCAGTGGAAATAAAAAACAAACCACTAATCGATGACTAATCAGCGAGATTAATTCTTAAAACAATTAACAAATGAGATAAAGAGATTATATTGACTACGATTTAACGATAACTTGAGCATCGCTTTTAAATTTAATTCTAATACTTGTCATCTTAAAAGTGTCTTCCTTTTGGTTTTTTAATCGCGTTTCCAATTGATAAAAAATAAAACATTTGCTCCCCCAATTCTGTCACCAAGTGAGACTTAACCTTATCCATGAAAATCCCATAGGATAAGAAAAAAAAAATAATAAACTAACGGTAAATTATCATTCCAATTAAGATCAATATTGAAATAAATCATATATCAAGTCAATCCAAATAAAAAGATTTCAAGATTTAATCTTTTTACTTGGATTTGATTTAGCTTTGGATTTTAGCTGATAACAGGATGAGAGGTATTAATTATTGTGGTCACTTTTAATCTAAATATGTCAATGATTCTCAAGCTAAAGATAATCAAATAAATTGATCACTTACTTTTTAATCAAGATTATTGAAACCAGAACCACACCAATTAATAGTAAACCTAAAACAACAGCTACAGTAATTAAGGCAGTTCGGAAAGTGGTTACCAATGGATCTTGATCTTCACAAGTTTCACCTCGATAACCTTCATGGCATCTGAAACGAAAATCAATCAATTATTAAACATTTTCATTGATGAAAATTTTTCGTATTGTAATTAAAATCAATTGGTAATTTCTTTTTCTCCAATCATAATCAAGCATACCTGCATGCTCCAGTATTATTTGCGACAACAAAACAGTCACCATAAACACATTTGACTGTTGAACAAACACCTAAGAAAAAAAAAAGGTAAAAACAAAAGGTAAACAATTAAGACAATTAGAGTTATACTTTTACAGTCTTTTTCTGTTTGGTTGGAACTTTTTCTCACGATAAAAACTCGAGATTAACTAGTTTGGACTAATCCTCTCGACGGTAATTTAGGAGAAAAAAAGAAGGTTCCGAACAATAGAAAAAGGCCAAAAACAATGACCATCAACTGATTAATCTTGTCGTTAACTTACTTATACAAGTTCCTGACACGGAATCTTCAATGTATTCATGGTTACATGGGCAGAGATAACTTCCAATTGTATTAATGCAGGTTGAATGTTGGCGACAAGGTGAATTGGCTGATGAACATTCATCGATATCTTCACAATACTCTTTGTAATAATCGGTTCGTAAATTTGAGTCCATTTGAATTACTGTTTCCGCTCTGAAACCTTCATTACAATCACAGGCGAACCTTGAATTGTCCAGTGATCGACAATGAGTGTTTGATGGACAATAGTCGATGTAAGTCTCATTACATGGGGTCAGATCTTTTTGGACTATTGAATTTCTTTGAATAACTGATTGGGTTGGAATGAAACAATATGATTCAGCTTCAGGCATTGTCGCTGGGAATGAATGGCAAACCGCTTCGTCGTTCAAAGGTGTTAGATGTGTTGTTGCGTCGATTGTTGGGTCACTTAGTTCAAGAGAAATGATCGCCTTATAATCACCACCAAGAGAACTTGAATTGGTCATTAATTTCGAGTAATTTATGATATTAATATCACCGAAAGTAGAACCGTAAACATTTGCTAAATCAGATTTAAGTGTTTCCTTCAACATCTCTCGAATAGCGGCTTCCATGGCAGCGGGTTTTTGAATTTCAGTTTTTTCTTGGGCAGATGAGGTTAGATAATCGATACAACCGGAAATGTCCAAAGGAGCGTATCTAGAACACATATCTGTCACAGCGGGTGCCATATAATAGGAGGTGATCTTGTTCTGTAACTGAGTATCGGCTAAACTGACTTCTCCCTCTTCAAGCCTTACAACCATTTCGATTCGTAGTGAATGTTCAATTAGATAACATCGATTATCGGTACCCTTTTTTAAACCTGGTTGACAGACACACTCATGGGAAGTAGCACCTAAAACGGTTGACCTTTGGCAAACAGCGTTATCAAAGAGACAAGTTTTCTCACCCGTGATACATTGATCGACACAGGAACCATTTGTATTCTTGTAGGTACCTGGTGGACAAACACACTTCCAAAGGTCACCGTTATAGCCAACCGCTTGTAGATCAGGTTGACAAATAGCTCCTTGGGCTAAACATTGAGAGTGACCTTTACCACCCTCCAGGCAAGTTGTATCAATTACACATCGACCCTCAGGTCCTTTAACATAAGGTGAGTCACATTCACAAATCAATTTAGCACTTTCATCGAGAGTACAAGTTGATGTACCACAGATCGATTTGACCTGATTCGCGGCATTGGTGTTGTTTTGAGCGGCACCTTTGCAAATGTCAACACACTCGGTGCCAATGGCCACATAACCTGGAAGGCAACTACACACACTTTTCATGGTGGTTTCATCTAGAACACAAATTGATCCAGTTAACGTTGAACAATTAGAAGTACAATTAAAACTATCAAGCTGTTCACAAGCAGTTTTTGAACCATCAGTTATATTCCAACCAGGGTAACAATTACATTCAGCCTGTCCTAATTCAACGGCACAGGTATGGTCACAGCCGAGAGCTTTTCGAGTGTCCCATGAACATGAATCAACATCACAACCGGTTGTAGTATCATAAATGACTCCATTGGTACAGTAGCAAACAGCGACACCATTATGGTCAGTTTTACAAGATGATCCGGTAACACAGGGCGACGGGCTTTTCTCACATGCGTTTTCTTTAACACATTTACCTGTGCTCGATTTCACATAACCATTACTTGTATCACAAGATGAACATGAAGCTGACATTTCTACCGCACTGTAGCTGCAAACATAACCGATTGGACAGAAAGCATTGAAACCTGTACAAGGATCGTAGGCCGCACAAGAGTGACCTAAGGTTTCATCGTATTTCCAATATTGTGTTGATGCACAATCACAAATTTCTCGTGTATTGGGGTCAAATGTTTTCGAGTTACAGGTTCCACCTCGAGCGGTACAATAGTTTTCTCCACTTATTTCAGAGGTTATGTTTGTGGTACTATCGGTCACCGGGAACTTGAGGACACACCAATCAGGTTTGCTACAATCTTTATCCATATAACCAGAGTCACATTCACATGATGCGACATTAGGTGATTGAACGATACAATTACCATGACCTGAACATTCATCTCGACCCAATCGACAAGCATCAGAAAGATCTACCGCTGAGAGAGTGAGGGTAACTGGAGTGACCATAGAGTTTTGATTGTAACTGATGACAAATTGAAGTCTGTATGCTTGACCATTAACTCCCTTGGTGATGGAGTAAATTTTTCTCGATGATGTAGTTGATGAAGTTGAACAAAGATCGGAACTTTGAGTGTCAATCAAATTATTTGCTGAATCGATAAGTTGTAAGGTGACTTCTAATTTTGAAGGACATGAAGTGATGGTCATCATTTCACGAAGTTCAAGACCTGAGGCCATTTCGAACCAACTTGAGACCACATAGATCATTCCGTTACCTGGAGCAACTGGTTTAAAAGTCAAAGAATCAGCTGATGCAGTTCCGATGGCCGGAACATCAAACCATTCATCAGTTGGTGAGACTGAACTTTTAGTCCAACTTTCTAAGATCATTTTAGTCGCTGGCTCGGCAAGTGCTGGGAAACGGGCATTGGCCGTGGTTATCTCACCGATGGCAATGTAATCAGGAGCCGAAACAGTTGAAGGTGTCAAGGTTAACTTGTAATCTCCATCAGTTGCATTGAAAAAGAATTGACTTAGACAGAATTCAGTTTGGTACCAATCGTATCTTGAGTCAGCGATTGAAGGTGCATAAGTTGGACCAAGGATAAGAGTGCCTGTAGATGAGCCCATAGTGACCGTTAAATGAGCGCCATCGGTAAGCCAATAGTTGATTGAGACACAAGAATCGGTTGTTTCTGATTTGCTGACCGTGAATGATAAAGAGCCAACGGCCGATGTAGCAGCGCTCGATGAACTTGGTGTATAAAATTTGGAAAATGTTGTCGGTTTCGTGGGGAAATTCAGATCGGACCAGTGATAATTAGCACCAGTGGTCAGCACAAAATCATTACAAGAAGTTGAATTACAAGACAAGGTAATAGTTGAATCCATTGGTTGAGTTACATTTTGTTCAGTAACAAGTCCACTTGTTGCATCGGTTACATTTTGTGTTACAATTATACCTGATGAAGAAAAGGGTAACAACGATTGAAAGGTCATTTTGTAGGTCAAATGATGAATGTTCATGTTAAAAAAAAAGTAATATCAATTCACTTACTATCTTCGAAGTTATAATTTACATAAATTCCCTTAAGGGCAACGTAATAAAACTGTTCGGTGCTTGTAAGTATCGGTGTAATCATAATACGAGCGGGATAAATTGGCTCAGTAGATATGGTCTCAAATTGACCCCAAAGATCACCCACCTTGTTACCAAGAGTGGACTCATTGAAAGCTGACCAAATGGTTTGTGGTCGAGCTTCCGATTGAAAGGAAACACCAAGACTGAAAAAACTTGTCGCTGAATAACCATCGGCATCGGTACTTGGATCACCTCCATAACCCCAATAGTCAAAGGTCACACTTGCAGTTGACAATTTAGCGGTCTCACTGTTGGTCGTTGGTATCGATTTGACCTCAATCTTTAATCCCTTTAAATCCGTTGTTCTACCAGCAAAGTAAAGATACTGTTCATCATTGACCTTTGGTGGATAAGTTTGCAAATCATGTGGAGTCCAACCGGTTGTAGTAATATCTTTAATCTCTAGAGATTTAAATTGTTACAATTAGTCTCGATTTCACAATTGTATCAAATAACATTGATCTTTTTGTTTTTTTAACCAAAACAATCAACTAATCACAACTATTAGTATACTCAGACAATCAAAATTTACTCTCAACACTAAGTGATACATGAAAAGTTGCTTGTTAAACTAAAATCAAACAATTAATATCTGAATCAAGTCATCATCTTGTTTAATTAACCTTTCTAATTGTGTATATACAAATTACAATCAGTAAACTTTTTTACTATTATTGATTAACTTAATCCATTTGTTTACTGGTAAATAGTTTTTTAGATTTGACAAATAAAAACAATTGGCAAACAATTTAAATTGTTATCTAACTGTAAGGTAAATAAGTTGACTACTATTAATAACAATTAAAGATTATCCAATCCAGTCTATCGGTACACATAAATTAGGTTAATTCTTAATGATTAATCAACAAGATAATTAAGAGATAATCTAATTGAAAGGAAGGAAAAAAAAAGAAAACTTTTTTTTCTGATTTCGTTTTCATGGAAACATTGATAATATTTTGATTTGTATTCTGTTTCCCCTTAACAAGATGATCATAAATCATCATCATCTTAATCATTATCTTCCTAATCAGCAAAAGTATTAGTACAATAATTAAATTGATCACAATTTACCTGGAGAGAGACAACAATTAACTTGAACCGAAACTTTAACGTTCAACTGTAACATTTAGATTGACAATTAACTACCAAATACCTTAAACATTGAATACTTACATCAACTGATTGTAATAGTTAATTATCATTGAGAATCAATCAATCTAAGTATACATACTCAACAATCAACTGATTGTAAATTCAATCCATAAATTGCAATTCAAGTTAATCAACAATAACAACAGTTAATTTTAATTATCTAATGGAGAAGAGAAAAAAAAATTTTTTTTTCTCAATTGGAATGATTAATTTTTCCCTTTTTCTTAGTTACCTTTTTCTTAATTGCAATTACTATTAATTATCCTCACCTTGATAATAATTATCATTTATTAGTCTTGATTAGTAAAGTAAATGATAACAATTCTAATAATTAACTTAATAGTCAGATAATTGTAATTAAAAGGAAAATAATGTCTCTCTAATCTTGGAAAAAGATATCGGTTAAAAAAAGGTCATTTAGTTTGAGACTTTTTCATTAGGTCGAATCAAAGTTAATTGTGATCAGTGTTAAGGGTAATTAATTAATTAATTAATTTCTATGATTGAGTATAGGGATTTAAGGCTAAGTATTGATACCCTATTGAGTATTTAAGCTTGGTGATTAAATTGAACCACAAAAAGATTAGTGTTTTCAACTTAATCGTTATGGATTAACTATTGATTGTTTATATTGATTAGTTAATTGTAAAGAAAGATGAAATTGATTACTTACCTTGAGCAAAACTAATGTAACAATTATTGGAAATTAATGTTAACAATAATGATAATATTGAGAATCGAAGTCGTTTGATAAACATGATGAAAAATGAATTTAAATTAAAACTAATTAAACTGATGGAATTGATTTATTCCGATGGTGTCAACATTTACTAATTGCGACTGTTGATTAGGTAGAGAGAGAGAGAGAGAAAAAAAAGAAAAGAAAAACTTTTGTTACAATTAACTAAATTGTTGATTGACGATCAGGCACTGGTCAAGGAATCGAGACTCGAAAGATGGACAATTATCGATACGATTGGTAGGATCTTGTTTTGTGTTCTTTGGGATGAGAAATGATGAATGGTGATGAAAATGAAGATGAAATTAAGAAAAAAAATGACACTGAGACTAATTAATTTACCAAAGTGAATATGATGATGAGGATGAGTAAATGTCTCCCTCAAACGGGTTAAAGATGATAATTTAATCAGGTTAATTGGGTATTAATGATGGAAAATAATACTAATTCTGGTTATATTGATGAAGATGAAAATAAATCATTGTTACTCTTGATGAATGATGAGAAACATGGGGGGGGGATGAGATAATGAAATCTTCGAGGAGGGAGATCGAAAAGAAAGAGAAAAAGAAAGGGAAAAGATCTGATTTACCGATAAAATGCTCAGGTAAGTATATGGAAGACGATGATGAGGATGATAAAGGGGGAAGGGAGGTAGAAGATGAAGATGATGAAAAGTCACTTTGAACTTTTCTTCCAACTTATCAGTTTTCTTCATGGTAACGATAACGATCATGGTGTTAACTGTGTTATTATAACGGTAACCATGGTGATGAAGAAAAGATTTATGATTTAATTGATGATGATTAATGTTTATCATCATTATGGTTAAAATAGATAATCACAATTAAGATGATAATTAAATGATCATTGAATTACAATTGTCATTTAACCTCGTATTTAACTAACTATGACTATGTTTGTTGTTTCATTGTACTGAGCAAATTGTTGACAATTATTAATATTTATTTAACTCACTTTCTCTTGATAAGATTAATCAATTTATCTAATTATTAATTCAATTATATATTAGTTGGCTGGTTAACTGATTTCTAGACTGATTAACAATCAATCAATAATCCGGATTTATGTAATCAAGGTTAATGATAATGAATTAATTTAGTTACTTATAAAAAAAACATTAGTGATTATTGATTATTAGAAATAAAAAATAATCACCTTCACAATTAAGCTCACAATTAATTATCAACAATTTAACTGTTTATTGTGTTGTTAGAGAAACATGATTATTATTATGATTAATTTCCTAGAAAATAATAATCACAATTAAAGTGATGATTTAACTGAGAAAAATAATAATAAGTTCAGTAATTGAGAGAAATGATTGATCATTACAATTGAACATTTCAATGTAATAATATATATGAGAGTTAATCTTTATTAAGAAGAAGAAGAAAAAAATTAGATTCAACAATTAGTTGAACTTAATTGCGTACAATTAAATTAGGTTAATGAGTAATTGTAATTAATCATAATGAAGAGAAAGGTTGAAAGTATATTATTATTATATTGGATTGATTTAATTCCTTGTTTGTATTATATTATCATAAGTACAGAATTTAGAATAGAAGAGAAAAATTTAAATTGTTGATTCTTCTATTTGAAAATTAATTCTTACTTTTTTTTCAAAGAATACAATTTGTCAGATTAACTGTATTAGTGTTAATCGGATTTGTCTACGTATTAAGATTGAAATAATCCTCGTACGTGCCAAGAAAATTTAAATATGTAACAGTGTAAATCAAAGGTAAATAGTGAAGACAAGTTAACGGTAAAAATGGTTAACAGTTAGAACTGAAAAGTAACATTGATATTAATTTTTCTTCATCTTTTATCCGAGACCCAAAGAGGATGAGGAAGAAAGTAACTGTTTACTTTTGTCTTCTCTTCATCATTTCTTCCAACCAATAACAAGAAGATTTGTTTTAAGATTTAGGAGAAAAGTTGTGAGTCTATGTGAGTGAAATTGTGTTGGTTATTTCGTTACGATTTTCGGTGAGTTCGTGATGGAAAATTGATCGAATTCATGTCTTCAAGTTTTCTTCTTTGAGCTGAAGAGAGAATCGGTTCAATGAAACAGAACTGAGGTTGATTTTTGCTTCGAAAAACTTTACTACACTATTATTATTGTTCAAGTTTCATCTTCTTTTGTTATCATCATCATCATCTTAGTGGTTAACCTGAAATAAGGAAAGAGACAAGAAGATGATGAGGATGAGAGAGAGAGAGAGAGAGAGAGAGAGACATTATTGAAGCGAAATCTAATCTCGCAAAGATTAGTAATATGTGTTAACATGTTAAAAGGTAAAAATGATGAATCTTTAAGTATATGAGATTATTTTACATCTTGTGAGATGATGAAGATAAAATGATAAGATAAAGATGAAAAGGAAAATGCTCTTGGGTGTGTTTTTTTTGAGTTGAGGTGTAAGATGATGCTGAAGATATTAGGATCTGGCTCTGTCTCTTCATCATCTATCATTAACAGTGTGTATATCAATGATAAGCCCGTCAATAGATAACTGTACATATTTACTGAAAGAAAGAGGAAGAGAAAGCAAAAAAAGAAAGATATTAAAGATAAAAATGATGAGGATGAGGATGAAGATAAAAAAACTATGATTTCAAGATGATGCTCTTCAAAAAAATAGAAGATGAGGATGAAGATGAGCTTCAAATACCCACAAAATTTGTTTGAGGTTTTTCTGTTTCTTTTCAGTCTCTCTCTCTCTCTCTCTCTCTCTCTCTCTCTCTCTTCATTGTCATCCTCATCTTCTCACCTCTCATCTAATTCGGATTCATGAAGAAAATGATTGCTTATTTGTACCTATTCTTTTCCCTCATCATTAAGCTCTCAACGTTTTTCTTCCTCATCTTTTTTTCTGTGCGAGGATTATTTCATCTTCTTTATCATCTTATTGTCATATTTCATTTATTTCTTCTTCTTTTCCTTTATCTTCATCTTTCGCACTTTTTTTCATCTTTTTCTCTAACCTTAAGGTTAAAAGAATATGAATAATCAAAGATAGAAGATGAAGAAGATACAAAACGAGAGAGAAAGAGAGAGAGAGAGAAAAACTGATCGATCTTTTTTGCGTTTTTTTCTCTCATCTCTTCGTCATCTTCATCCATCGTTTCTCGTTCTTTTCTTTACTTTCTTGACTTGAGGTTAAGAAGGAAATGACTTTTTTGCTATTATTATTCAGCTTATTGATACAAGTCAAATCTCTCTCTCTTTCTCCTCATAGACCCGACCCATCTCGACTCCCCTTCGAAGTGCTAAATCCTTAAATTAGCACGAAATCAGCATAGACATTATTTGCCACGCGTTATCATCATATTCCCGAATTGATGTGATCTCAAAGATGATGATGGCCTTAAATTTATGCTTAGACACACAAAGACAAATAAAGTAAATAGACCAACATGAAAGCAAAGAAAGAAAAGAGAGAGTTGATGAAGAAGAAGAAGAAGATGGGAAAATGGTTTATTTACACTATCATCATAACAATAATGATAATAATAATAAATTTGCATAGGAGAACGTTGATTTTAACAAGGAACGCAAATCGGCCTCAAAAATATACAGAGAGAGAGAGAGAAATAGGGAGAGAGAAAAAAAGAGAAGATAAAAATCCTAATACTTTTTATGCTTTAGATCGTTTTAACGTTCTAAGTGGAGGTACAATAAGTTTATCGAAGTCAAAGTTTACTCTGGTTACTTGGCTTGTTGACTTGTGACGGTATCACGCCTTTTCTAACCCAATAAACGACTTCTATTGCATATCTTCAATTTAAATATTACCAACAATAAGAGAGCTTAAGAATCATCATCATCTTTATCTTCATCAATATCGAAAAGCAAATGGCCTTAACCAAATAACACGGGAGTTGAGGGAAAAAACCGATGAAAAGGAAAAGCTTGAGAACGTTGGAAAGTGCCCATTAAAAGGTTTACCTTTAGATGAAAAAGAAAACTGTTTCCTCCGTCTTGTTCACTTCGATAACAAAAGGCCGAAAACCACCACAATCGTTATTAAACAAACATCATGTCCTCTCATCGCAAGGAAGAGAGAGAGAGAGAGAGAGATCGAAGATGATGAGGGTGGGAGGTAAGGTAGAAATTGATATTGGTGATCAGGAGGGCGAGGTAGAGGGCAGATTATATTTGGACATCGATAAACATCCGATTACCATTTATTAGGTTCACTTTAATTGCATTACCGTAACCATGGTGATAAATTGTTTCCATGAAATTTGTTAACCAACTGATTGATGAATCGATAAGTATTATCATCAGTGTGGTCACTATGGACTTTAGAAATGAACCTCTATCAATTTCAGTTCTAATCAATTGTTTACACTCTTGAATCTCAATTGAATTATCAATTCCAATGAAGTTACAATCATGATCAGAATTTTAAATATTCTTTTTCATGGTAAAATTTTCCTTAATTTTTGAACCTTTTTTTTATTACTCTCCAATTCTTGTTTATTCATTGAAACTTTGTCTCTTTTAATAAAGTTATTGATATACTTGTGGTTTTGTATTTTGATAATATACATTTTGGTAAAACAAATAACATATAATGTATTATATTATTATTACATGGGGATAATGCTGAATAATCTGAAATTATTGAACATGAGTTGAATATTTGAGCATCATGATGATCATGGTGATCGAAAATGCTGATACATTTAAATTGGAGGAAGAAAAATTTTATATAACAATAATGAAAATGTTTCAATGGGCTGAAAATAATTGATTCTAACTGATTAACAACACCAATTGTAATAATTAATTGTTAATTAATCTTTTACAATATTAATCCAGCTAATTGTCGAGTAAATTAACTGGATAATAATAAAACCTTTTCTCCATGTGATTTTGTTATCTTTTGATTACACAACTAATTCGGTTTAATCCTCTAAAGATTAGATTCAATTTCCGCCATCAAATTGAGAATTGGGAATGAATTTTTTCTCTCTCTCTTCTTCCTTTCATATATCCGCATCATCTTCAGATAAGATCATTCATCTCACGGAAAAGTTTCGAATAACTTTCAGTTCCATAGAATCGAAACTGCTTAGAGCGTTAATCATCGAGTGCCATTGATTTGCAATTTCCAATGTTATCCTTCGTGAGTGGATTTAAGTGCAATCATCATCATCATCATCCTCGTCATCCTCATCTTCATCTTTATCCTTATTGTATTGATGAAGATGATGAACAAAAAAAAAGCGATGCAATCAAATGATGGTTAATATCAATTTCAGTTTAAGTTGCAATGATTTAGCTAATGGTGGAAAAAAAGTTTACAATTGAATTGAATTGAAAATTGAATATGTGATATTTTGTTATAAATTGTCAATCGATTGTGATGATTAAGTGATAAGTTGATGAGATT